TAGTATGCTTGAATATTTTATTTAAAAAAATAACACTGAAAACACAATAAACTCACAGTGGTGACTCCTGGGGGTGAGGATCAATAAATAGTTTAGTTTTATATGTAATACTCCTTTTTTCCCTCCAAAAAGGACAATAAATATTAATATTTTATGTACATAATTCAAAAAAGCACTAACCATAGATAAAAGCAAATATTCCAAAATGTTAACAGTGGTTAATTCTGTGCTGGGAGTATATAGCTGATTGTGTTTTTATTTATACTTATTAGGGTTTTTTTTTAAATTAAAAGGCAAGTCAGTAAGTGACATGTATCATGGTTCATTGATGAATAGCAGCCTATGTTCTGGTTAAAAATTAAATTTGGGAAACAATAAAATGTACGAAGGAAAAAAGACCTGAATTTAGTTTTTCATTTGCCAAGAAAGTAAGAAACACTAGGATGTCTTACTTTGGGAAGAAGAAAGTCTTTCTACATTTTATATGCCTCCACTTTATTTGGCCAAGATACTGTGACAAAGAAACTGTTTTCAATACTGTCTTGGCTTTTACAGCAGTAGTTAGGGAGCTGTTTGTTTCTTGGTCACATGACCTACTCATGCTTTTTGTCACTGGCCCCTTGAAAGTTTGAAAACCAAAGAGCTCTTGGTAACCTTGGCAGTCAGTCAGCCTACTGTCCGCATGGGTTGGGAAGTGAACCAACGGACCGACTCTATGGAATATTTCTAGTGCAGAGAATGATTGCAAGATCACTCTCCTATTAAACATGAAAAAGTGGAGAGTGGCAGGCAATCATCATTTCCCTGGGAAAGGAGTTTTCTTTAATTTTCTTGATCATCTTGCTGTTTCTGCCCTGTTGTTTCTAAAACCTTAGGTTTCTCCACATGACTCTCTTCCTCCGAGACCCAGATTTTTATGAAAATGTCCAAACTATGCAGAAAAGGTAAAAGAATAGTTCAATGAGTACTCATTATACCCACCACACAGGCTAAACAATTTTTGACATTTTGCTATATGTGCTTTATCATTTTTCTTTTCTTTATTTTTCTATTTTTTTGTTTTTGTTTTTTTAATCTTTGATCCTTTGCTACTTGTTCTTTTCACTTCTGTCTCCTGCAGGTTACTTTTTACTTTTAACTCAATTAACTTTTTACTTTTTACTCAATCTTTCTTCTTTTATGTTATACCTTTTTCAAGTAAACTGCAGACATGACGACACTTCACTCCTCGTGCATCTGCTAAGATAAAGGACATTCTGTTACATAACCACCATAACATTATTTCATCTAAGAAAATTAACAGTAAATCCCCAAATAACGTCCATATGCACATTTTCCCAGCTGTCTTAAAGATGTTTCCCTGTTTTTCATTTGGTTTTTAAATCAAATTAAGGTTCATATGTTGCATTTTTTGTTATTCTTTAATTTCTTTTATACCACAAGAGTTCTCCCTCTTAGTTGTTTTCATTTTACATAACATTGAAAATTTTTTTTTTTTTTTTTGAGACAGAGTCTCACTTTGTTGCCCAGGCTAGAGTGAGTGCCGTGGTGACCTCAATCTCCTGGGCTCAAGCGATCCTACTGCCTCAGCCTCCCGAGTAGCTGGCACTACAGGCATGCGCCACCATGTCCGGCTAATTTTTTCTATATATATTAGTTGGCCAATTAATTTCTTTCTATTTATAGTAGAGATGGGGTCTCACTCTTGCTCAGGCTGGTTTCGAACTCCTGACCTTGAGCAATCCACCCGCCTCGGCCTCCCAGAGTGCTAGGATTACAGGCGTGAGCCACCACACCTGGCCTTTTTCTATATATTTTTAGTAGGCCAATTAATTTCTTTCTATTTTTTAGTAGAGACGGGGTCTTGCTCTTGCTCAGGCTGGTTTGGAACTCCTGACTTGAGTGATTCTCCCGCCTCCGCCTCCCGGAGTGCTAGGATTACAGGCGTAAATTTCTAAAAATTTATAAAATTGTGTTAAGATCCATGTAATAGAATTTACCATCTTGATCGTTTTTAAGTGTACAGTTCAGTGGCATTAAGTACTTGTACATTGCTGGGCTAAAATCACCACCATCTGTCCATATGACTCTTTTCATCTTGCAAAACTGAAACTCTATACCAATTAAACTATAACTCCCCACTCTCTCTTTTCCCCATCCCCTGGCAACCACTATTCTACTTTTTGTCTCTATGAAGTTGACTATTCTAGGTATCTTATAAAAGTAGAATCATATAATATTTGTCCTTTATATATCTGGATTATTTCATTGAGTATAATTTTCTCAAGGTTTATCCATGTCGTAGTATGTGTCAGAAATAGAATTGCTGGATCATATGGTAATTCTGTTTTTATTTTTTTTTTGAGGAACTGCCATACTGTTTTCCATAGTGGCTACACCATTTTACATTCCTATCAACAGTGCACAAGTGTTCCAATTTCTACAAATCCTTGCTATCACTTTTTTATTTTTTGGATAGTAGCCATCCTAGTGGGTACAAGATGACATTTCCTTGTGGTTTTGATTTCCCTAATGATTAATGATGTTGAGCATCTTTTCATGAGCTTGTGTGGCCATTTATATATCTCCTTTGCTCATTTTTTTTTTCCTTTGCTCATTTTTTAATGTGATTGATTTGTTAATGGTGGTGAGTTATAGGTGGGTTGCTTTTTCCTCTCTGTTGTATCTTTTGATTCACAGAAATTTCAAATTTTGAAGTCAAATTTATATATTTTTCATTTGTTGCTTGTGCTTTTGTTATCATATTCAAGAAATCACTCACACTTTCACTCCAGTACTAAAAAAAAAAAAAAGAAATAAGAAATCATTGCCAAATCCAATATCATGAAGATTTTCCTTTATATTTTTTTATTTTATTTTATTTTTTATTATTATTTTATTTATTTATTTTTGAGACAGAATGTCGCTTTCTTGCCCAGCCTAGAGTGAGTGCCGTGGCATCAACCTAGCTCACAGCAACCTCAAACTCCTGGGTTCAAGCGATCCTGCTGCCTCAGCCTCCCGAAGTAGCTGGGACTACAGGCATGCGCCACCATGCCCGGCTAATTTTTTCTATATATATTAGTTGGCCAATTAATTTCTTTCTATTTATAGTAGAGACGGAGTCTCGCACTTGCTCAGGCTGGTTTCGAACTCCTAACCTTGAGCAATCCACCCGCCTCAGCCTCCCAGAGAGCTAGGATTACAGGCGTGAGCCACCTCGCCCGGCTTATTTTATTTTTTTTTTAAGACTAGTCAAGTGCAGTAGTGAGTAAGGGGGGAAGTAGTAGAACAAGGAGTTCAATCTGTAACTGACTGTGAACAATCTTGTGAGATAACTCACTACCTTCGGACCAGCCCCTTTATATTTTCTTATAAAAGTTTTAGGGTTACGCTTAGGTCTTGGATCTATTTTGAGTTGATTTTTGTGTGTGGTGTAAAGTAAGGTCTAATTTCATTCTTTTGTATGTGGATAATCTAGTTTTCCCGGCATCATTTGTTGAAAAAACTGTCCTTTTTTATTGAATAGTCTTGGCATCCTTGTCAAAACCATTTTACCATATATGTGAGAGTTTATTTCTGGGCTCTTCATTCTGTTTTATTGGTACATATGTGTATCTTAATGCCAGTACCACACTGTTGATTACAATAGCTTTGTAGTAAGTTTTAAAATCAGGGAGTGCAAGTTCTCCAACTTTGTCCTTTTTTAAGATTGTTTTGGTTATTTGGAGTCCTTTGAGATTCCATATGAATTTAAGGATGGATTTTTTTACATTTAAATCTATATTCTGTTTTGAGTTAATTTTTTTTTTTTTTTTTTTTTGGACAGAGTCTCACTTTGTTGCCCAGGCTAGAGTGAGTGCCATGGCGTCAGCCTGGCTCACAGCAACCTCAATCTCCGGGGCTCAGCGATCCTACTGCCTCAGCCTCCCGAGTAGCTGGGACTACAGGCATGCACCACCATGCCCGGCTAATTTTTTGCATATGTATTTTTAGTTGGTCAATTAATTTATTTCTATTTTTGGTAGAGACGGGGTCTCGCTCAGACTGGTTTCGAACTCCTGACCTTGAGCAGTCCGCCTGCCTCGGCCTCCCAGAGTGCTAGGATTACAGGCGTGAGCCACCACGCCCGGCCTGTTTTGAGTTAATTTTTATATAAGGTTGAAGTTCATGTTTTTGTCTATGGATATCCATTTGCTGTAGCACCACTTACTGAAAAGACTATCCTTCCCCCATTGAATTGCTTTTGCACCTTTGTTCAAAATTAGCTGTACATGCTTGAGTCTATTTCTGGCTATTTTGTTTTGTTGAGTTGATCTATGTGTCTGTCCCTCAGCCAGTACCATTCAATCTTGATTACTTTAGCTATGTAATAAGTCTTGACATCGAGTAGAGTGATTCCTCCCACCTTATCTTTGTTCAAAAAAATTTAAGGTATTCTAGTTCCTTTGCCTTTCCATAGAAATTGTGTGTTTTTTAGAAATGGTGTCTCAGTATGTTGTCCAGACTGGCCTAGAGCTCCTGGGCTCAAATGATCCTTCCATCTCAGCCTCCTGAGTAGCTGGGACTATAGATGCTTACCATCATGCCCAGCTCATATACATTTTAGAATAATCTTTTCTACATCTATAAAAATATTGAATTTTGTCCGGGCGCGGTGGCTCACACCTGTAATCCTAGCACTCTGGGAGGCCAAGGCGGGTGGGTTGCTCAAGGTCAGGAGTTCAAAACCAGCCTGAGCAAGAGTGAGACCCCATCTCTACTATAAATAGAAAGAAATTAATTGGCCAACTAATATATAAAAAAAAATAGCCGGGCATGGTGGCACTTGCCTGTAGTCCCAGCTACTCGGGAGGCTCAGGCAGCAGGATCGCTTAAACCCAGGAGATTGAGGTTGCTGTGAGCTAGGCTGACGCCACGGCACTCACTCTAGTCTGGACAACAAAGCGAGACTCTGTCTCAAAAAAAAAAAAAATCTTGGATTTTTTTTTTTTTCCCACTGAGGCAATTTATTTGTAAGTATGTATTACATCCCTAGAAAAAGAATCCCAGAATTTTCCCTCCTATGTGTTTTCTTCTTGCTTCTTCATGGTCCATGATGCCAGCTGAAGTTGTCAATACAATAAAACCAAACTGGCAGGATGGGAGCAGATTATTCTGCCATTTTTCTAGATCTTTGAGTTGCACATCAAATCTCGGGCTGATCACTCCACACTTGTTTAACATGCCTGTGAGGTTCACAACAATTTTCCCAGCTCTGTGATCATCAATGATTTCAAATTTGCCAATGTAACCATGCTTCATCATCATAGTTAGAAACCGGACAATGACTTTGGAGCACGGCCTTATAAGAACCTGGCATTTGCCTCTCTTTTCGGCATTGTTGATGCTCTTAAGAGCATCAGCCAGGACATTCATGCGCACCATTATGGCAGCACGGAAAGATAGCGGAAAGAACAAGTCTTGGATTTTGATAGGAATTGTGTTATACCCGAATATCAATTTGAGGAGAATTGATATCTGTACTATGTTGAATCTCCCAATCCATGAATATGTTATATCGCTCCATTTATTTAGATCTTCTTTAATTTCTTTCATCAGTGTTTTATAGTTTTTAGCATGTAAGTCATATGCATGTTTTATTGGGTTTATACCTAGGTATTTCATGTTTGAGAGATTATAAATGGTATTGTATTTTTTACATTTTGGTTTCCACATGTTCATTGCTTTCCTGTAGAATTACGAGGGACTTTTATGTGTTGATCTTGTATCTTGAGACCTTGTTGAACTCACTTACTACAGAATTTTTTGTAGATTCCTTGAGATTCCCTACATAAACCATCATGTTGTCTACAAATAGGCCATATCTACAAATAGGGACAGCTTTATTTTTTCCTTTTCAATCTATATGACTTTTATTTCCTTCTCTTGCCTTATTCTGTTGGCTGAAACTTTCAGTAATATGTTCACTTACTGAGAGCAGACATTCTTGCCTTATTCCTGATCTCAGAGAAAAAATGTTGTCTTTCACTATTATGTATAATTCCAGACTTTGCTGGTAGGTTTTCTTAGATGTTCTTTTTGTTTGTTTTTATTTGTTTGTTTTTTGGAGACAGAGTCTCACTCTGTTGCCTGGGCTAGAGTACCATGGCATCAGCCTAGCTCATAGCAACCTCAAACTCCTGGGACTCAAGCAATCCTCCTGCCTCAGCCTCCCCTCCTGGATAGCTGAGACTACAGGCGCACACCACCATGCCTAGCTAATATTTTCTATTTTTAGTAGAGATGGGCATGGAGTCTCACTCTTGCTTAGGCTGGTCTGAAACTCCTGAGCTCAAGCAATCCTCCCACCTTGGCCTCCCAGAATAGATGTTTTCTTCATCCAATTGGGAAACCAGTCTATTTCTAGTTTTCTAAGTGTTTTTTTTTTCTTTTTGTTTTGTAAATTGATACATAATAGATGTACCTATTTTCCAGGTACATATGATAGTTTAATACATTCATGTAATGTGTAAAGATCCAATCAGGGTAATTGGGGCATCCATCAATTGAGTGTTTTTATTGTGAAGCAGTGAACTAGCCTTGGATATCCCTGGAATAAACTCGTTGGTCATGGCGTATAATTCTTTTTATACGTTGGTGAATTTTATTTGCTAATATTTTGTTAAGGGTGTTTACATCTGTAGTCATGATGGATATTGGTTTATAGGTTGTGTGCGCGCTCGCTCGCTCGCTCACTCGCGCGCGCTCTCTCTCTCGTATTGTATTTGCCCAGTTTTGATATCACATGGAAAATTCTGAAAGTCTTCATGAAAGACAGTGATAATGACCACTAAGTTATGGAGTGAATGTTAGGGGAACTAACTCATTCCCCTAACTTTCTGGGAACTTTGAAAAAGGATTCAGAGGGGGAAAGGAATTCAGGGAATTAGGAAAGGGAAATAGTGTTACTTGCCTAGAAATACTATTATTTGGGGCAGTGTGTTGGAGCAGATTCATTAAGGGGTGGGGATGAAGACTGGTTTTCATGGATAGTGTAGTTAGTGTAGTTGGTTTGTGGATGGTCTTATAATGATGTGGTAGGGCTGGAACTATATGGACTGTAGGGAAAAGATTGAATAGAGTAGTGGAAATTTGGCACCTCTCTCTGCTGGAAAGGAGGAGGGTGGGTATGGACAGAATGAGGTCCTTAGAAATAATACTAATGTCTGGGAGTACCCCTCCTCACTTTGCTTGGGAGCAAGGGGATATCCCTAGGACTGAATGAGTAATACATCTATCTGCACAGAAAGGGGAGCAAGTTTCTCTGCTGATACTCTCTATAGGGATAGCCATAAGGATGAATTAGAGCTTTGTTTTAAGTCCTTAGACCAATTTTTGAGTTTTTGTCTGTTTTTGAGACAGACTAATGAGGACCACAGGTCAGGTAAATCATTGTGTAAACTCTTCTTTGAAAATCCTCCAAAATGACGAGCCACTGGAAGTTCTGGGAGTCAGCTGCTGAGTCTCAGTCCTGTCTAGCATTGACCATGAGAGGACCTTTGGCTCTATCTTCTGTTAAACTTGAGAGTCTCTGACCATCTTGTTTGTAATTAGCAGTTTAGATTTAGTTTTCAGATCAATTCCGCACAATCTATTCCAGAAAATAGAAGAGGAGGGAACCTTTCTTAATTCATTTTATGGTTCTAATACCAGAACCAGATAAGGATCAATTTCTATTCCTAGTAAATCATTCCTCTTCTTCGTGCCTCCATTGTGGAACTCTCACGCAAGATGCTGCTCCTTTCTTGGGGCTGTGCTGACACTCATGGAACTATTTTCTCTTCCTGTTGTAGCTGCAGCCGACTCCGGCAGGTTCAGAGCATCCTGACCCAGAGCAGCAAGTCTCGGCCTGATGGGATCCTCTGCATCCTAGGTCAGTGCTTTTAACAAGGCGGATTGAGGTCTGGGACAACTTGGCTTCTTATTCACAGGAAGATTAATAATAGTATCATTGTGAAATAAGGTGTGAGTTAGTGTCCTAGTTCTTGTTCCCCTGATATCTGTTGTTGTTTTAGTGGGGTTGGATGAGGTATTAGTGAGATAGGGAGCCCTTATCATTTTGGAAGCTCCCAGCTTCTGCCCAACCCCTTTCTCTTAGGCTCACATAGATAGCTATCTCCGTCATTAACACTTCCCTTTTGCCCCCTAAAGCTCTGGGACTTCACAGACACCTACGCACCAGTTAGTAAGTATACCTGAGGCATTGAGAGGCAGTAGTGAAGACAGTACCATGAAATTTCTTTTTTTTTTTGAGACAGAGTCTCACTTTGTTGCTCAGGCTAGGGTGAGTGCCGTGGCATCAGCCTAGCTCACAGCAACCTCAATTTCCTGGGCTCAAGCGATCCTCCTGCCTCAGCCTCCCGAGTAGCTGGGACTACAGGCATGGGCCACCATGCCCGGCTAATTTTTTGTATATATATATATATTTTTAGTTGGTCAGTTAGTTTCTTTCTATTTTTAGTAGAGACGGGGGGTCTCGCTCAGGCTGGTTTAGAACTCCTGACCTTGAGCAATCCACCCGGCTCGGCCTCTCAGAGTGCTAGGATTACAGGCGTGAGCCACCGCGCCCGGCCGAAATTTCCTTTTTGTTTCTGACTTAGCCCATTAGACAGTAAGCTTCATGAGGGCCATCTGCTGGCATGTTGTCTACTGCACCCCAGCATCTAGTACAGTGCTAGGCCTTGAGCCTGATGTTTGTGAAATGATAAATGTTTGTGGTTCCATTCGCTTGTCTTCCTCTTCATATCATTAGAATCTTTTCAAACCACTTTCATCTGCCTTTATTTGATCCACATGTTTTGGTAAAGATATCTTTGAGAAGCGAATATTTTTCTGTCCTCTATTCTTAGGCCAACTGAAAGTATTCTGAGATTTTTAACAAGCCATGGAAGGACCTGGACTGTACTTTCTGGTTACTTCTGTCTTCAAGAATTGCTTTTCAGAAACTAACAACCTCAATAATCTGTGCTGATTATCTCTACTATATAGATCTTGGAATCCAAGGAAGAATACTTGATTTGGAGGCCAGTTTCTTTCACAGAGACTTGCTTAGCTTGATTTCTGGAACAAAATTGGTCTGAGCTGCTGTCTTTAACTTGACCATCAGGGTTTTGCTGAGCAGGGGCAAATGATTGGCGCTCATTTGTTCCCCATAATACAGTACAGCTGATCACAGCCTTCTTTGCCTTGCAGGAATTGATAGCAGGTATAATGAAGGCTGCAGAGAGCTGGCAAATTATCTTCTATTTGGTTTGTACAATCAGAATACCAGTGATTTTGAGAAAACAGGATTTTCTGAGGAGGTTCTAGATGGTAAGTATATGTTGGTAAACTCTGTGAGAGAAGAGTGGGTGGTTTATTTCTTTGGATCATTATTTCATGGTCTTTTATGGAAAAATATGGTCCGATTTAAAATAGTCCAAAGCCCCAGTAAAATTTTGCCTTTTTAATAATGAAAAACAGCATTTCTTCTTTGCTAATATATTAAATAATATGCTCCTGTTGGCCACCTAGCAACAAGTACTTTTCAGAATATATTTACTGGGTAATTCAGCTTTAGGGAAACAAGTAAACATAAGGGTTTGGCTTTATCTCTTCTTGGCATGGTACTAGTTTTCCTCTTAATTGCCCACTGCCTCTACATGCTGAAGGCTCAGATTATGTGCTGTTGTCCTGTGAAAGCACTTTTAGTTGTGAGGTAAGGATGAGGCTGCAGGCTGTGCCTACAAGGAAGACTTCATGTGCATCATCAGCTGAGGAACAGAGACTCTTTGTCCTGCTATCTTTGGGAATTGTTTTCTATGTGACTTTAATTCATGATGATGCCTATGACTACAATGCAGGCTTTTTGTTTACATTCCCCTTTCCTCAAATCTGAGACACTCTGCCTGTGTTGATGGTGCTGTGGGCTGTTGCCCAGGAGCTATCTCTGATATCACATACTTAGCATCGTGATTTGTCTGCCAGATAGGTCAGGAGACATAGGAATAGGCAAATAAAATTGGACAAGAAACAGACAGCTCTTGTGAGGCAGCTGGAAGAGGCATGAAAACAAACATCTGATGTGAAATAATATTGCTATGGGGCCAGTGCAGTGGTTCTCAACTGGGGGTAGTTTTGTCCCCTAGGGGGTATTTGGCAATGTCCAAAGGCATTTTTGATTGTCAGAAGTGAGGAGGGGATGCCACTGGCATCTAGTGGTTAGAGGCCAGGGATGCTACTAAACATCCACAGCTCAGTCCCTGACAACAAAGAATTAGCTGATCTAAACTATCAGTAGTGCCCAGGTTGAGAAACCCTGGTCTAGTGTATGTGACAATTCTTCTGTGGTAAAGTCCATAACAGTGTTTATCCTTATAGATTGATTAAAGCTTTCCTTTTTATTAGGAAGCACAGAAAGAGTAGAATGAAGTTACTCTTCCCATTAAAATTTTTTCAATTCAAATTTGGTTTTATATTTTGATTAAAATTTTTTTTCTTACTCTGTACAGCATCTGCTGCTTTGGAAAGAATTAATCTTGGTAGCTTGTACCAGTCCCACATTTCACTGCAGCCAAGGTTGCTAAGGACATTACAGTACTGAAATTAAGGAAATAGTTTAAATCCTCAAAAGTATGCTTTTTTTTTGGCTCATCTTTGCTTTTTATCTTTTCTCATGGCACAGTGGATGATTGGGAAATTAGCGTTTTTCTACAAATTAAGAAATTCATTTTCCAAGTAGTTACAAAGCTGAAATCGAACAGGCATTTTTCAAAAGAATATATACAAATGGCAAAAAAGCATGAAAGATGTCTAATGTCACTAATCATCAGGGAAATGCAAATTAAAACCACAATGAGATGCCATCTTATTCGCATTACAATGGTCATTATTAAAAAGTCAAAAAACAATAGATGTTGGCAGCTGATGCGGTGAAAGGGAAACACTTATACATTGTTGGTGGGAGTGTAAATTAGCAGAACCTTTATGGAGATCAGTATGGATATTTCTTAGAGGACTAAAAGTAGGTCTATCATTTGATCCTGCAATCCCACTACTGGGTATCTATCCAAAGGAAAATAAATAATTTTATCAAAAAGACAGCTTCATTCGTATGTTTATTGCAGCACAATTCACAATTGCAAAGATCGCAAAGATAAGGAATCAACCTCAGGGTCCATGAATTGATGAATGGATAAAGAAAATGTGGTACATATATACCATGGAGTACTACTCAGTGATAAGAAAGAATGAAATAATGTATTTTACAGCAACTTGGCGGAACTGGAGACCATTATCCTAAGTGAAGAAACTCAGGAATAGAAAATAAATGCCACTTTTCTCTCATAAATGGGAGCTAAACTATGGCTACACAAAGACACACAGTGTGGCATACTGGATATTGGAGACTCACAAGGGGGGAATGCGGAAGGAAGTGAGGGATTAAAAGTTACCTATGGGGTACAGTGTACACTGCTCGGGTGGTAGATACACCTAAAGCCCAGACTCCACCACTATGCAGTATATATGTAGTGGAGTTCAACTTGTATCCCCCAAATCTATTAAAAATTTTTTAAAAAGGAAAAAAAAGCTGAGATCACCAGATTTCTACATTTTGATTCCTGTATGAGAGGGAGAAAAGGCCAGCATTAGGGATTTATTTATTTATTTTGAGACAGAGTCTTGCTTTGTTACCCAGGCTAGAGTGAGTGCTGTGGCGTCAGGCAAGCTCACAGCAACCTCAATCTCCTGGGCTCAAGCAATCCTGCTGCCTCAGCCTCCCGAGTAGCTGGGACTACAGGCATGCACCACCATGCCCGGCTAATTTTTTCTATATATATTAGTTGGCCAATGAATTTTTTTCTATGTATAATAGAGACGGGATCTCGCTCTTGCTCAGGCTGGTTTCGAATTCCTGATCTCGAGCATTCCACCCGCCTCAGTCTCCCAGAGTGCTAGGATTACAGGTGTGAGCCACCTCGCCCGGCCTAGGGATTTATTTTTAAAAGAAACTTTTAAATAGTTTACATATTCATCTCATTCTCATATACTTTCTTCTTTTATTATATACTCTGATAATATTTTGTTCATAGTGATGACATCAGAGTTCTAAGAGATTTTGAGAATGCTTAATTAGGTTTAGAAGTTGTTGTGTTATGTCTTTTATTGGATCCTAATTCTCTGGGGTATGTTATACTTTAGAGTATAATATACACTGGAAGCTCTCATCTCTTCAGGTGACATCAAACTCTCACTCCTCAGCAAGTGGTCTATAAATGATTCAGGACAGGGCTCTTTGGAGGGGTGTGTGAGAAAGACAGTATGGTGAGAGATGAGAGGGGCCCCCCTTTTCCCACCCTTTGCTGCCCTTTGACTTTAGTGCTTACTTGAGAGTCAACAGAGAAGAAGCTGCTGTGTACTGTGTTCCCTTGAACACCCTGGGCCTGACCAGTTGTAGAGCTCAGAGTGACTTAAAAAGCCAGAATCATAGAGCTTTATTTCAGTAGGCCTCTCAGCTGAGTGGTCAGCTGTGGTCAGTATTTATTGGCCTTATGTTTTGTAAAGTGTGATCTGTCACACTGTTACTGGTTGGCATTGTCCTATACCTGCTGCCTAGGTGTTCTCCTCCCCCATGGGTGCGCCTTTCTCACCTCCAGCAACTTCTGGTTTCATCTTGTTAGAAGGAGGCCTGATGGCTCTGGTTTCTGAGGAGCTATGGAGTGGAGCTTTTGGAAGTATAAATGCTTTCCTTCTCAGTGTTCAAGCTGCTTTTTAATATTCCTTCCCTGTTCTATGGCACTTCTGTTTACCTGGGTTTATTTGCATCCTTGGGATTGCTTTATTTACTCGACCCTCCAATGTTGATGGCTGTTCCTTAGATCTGTGAGCTGCTGATCTATTTACAGAAGCTCTTTCCACTTGCCTCCACTTCCTTCCTCCCAGCCTTTCCTGTGTACAGAGTTCACCGCCGTACATAGTAACTCTTCTCAAAGTCAACAGGCAATGTCCGTGGGTCTGCAATTCCCTTGAGTCAAATGAGCCGATAGCCAAGAGCTTTAGACATTGATATCTGAGGGAAAACTAGTGACTGATCATATTTGTTGCTGTTTTTCTGCTTCAGTGGCTTCAGGCTGTGGGATTTCCATTTGGTATTTATCTCTGCCATGATACACAGCTGTGTTTGGTGCCACAGATATGACTGTGTTGAACTGTATAAGACAGCATGCTTCGGGAGATGAAGGCCATTCTTTTGACTGATTCTGTACCTACATTGCTGTACCCAGAGGACCACAGTGGTGCATTGCATGGGGACTAGGCAATCCTTGCTGTCTGCACTTGAAAGTTCTAAAATCACTTTGAAGCCCCTTGCCTAATTAAATAATTTTCAGTTTAGAGTTTTTGTTACATTGTCTCTGAAGTAGTTTTAATTGTTTTAGTAATGATGTGAGCAGAAAATGTCTAAAGGAAATGCTTTTGACAATCTTGTGCTTTGATTTTGTTTTTCTTACAGATGTAATTATATTGATTAAATCAGATAGTGTCCATCTGTACTGTAATCCTGTAAACTATCGCTATCTCTTACCCTATGTGGCACATTGGAGAAATCTGCATTTCCACTGCATGACTGAAAATGAGGTGAGGAGAAAAGATAGAATAGGTACTTAGAGATATTCTAAGAAAACTCTTTAAGGAAAGTATTGATCTGGAACAGGTAGCCTCTAAAACAGGGGTCCTCAAACTTTTTTTTTTTGATACAGAATCTCGCTTTGTTGCCCAGGCTAGAGTGAGTGTCGTGGCGTCAGCCTAGCTCACAGCAACCTCAAACTCCTGGGCTCAAGCAATCCTGCTGCCTCAGCCTCCCGAGTAGCTGGGACCACAGGCATGTTCCACTATGCCGGGCTAATTTTTTCTATACATATTAGTTGGCCAATTAATTTCTTTCTATTTATAGTAGAGACAGGGTCTCGCTCTTGCTCAGGCTGGTTTCAAACTCCTGACCTCGAGCAGGTCTGCCTGCCTCGGCCTCCCAGAATGCTAGGATTACAGGCGTGAGCCACCATGCCCGGCCGGTCCTCAAACTTCTTAAACGGGGCCAGTTCACTGTCCCTCAGACCATTGGAGAGTACACACTGTGGGCGTAGGACGAGTCGGCTGCTAAGCAGGACAGGTAGCAGCGGCAAAAACACCCAGCAGGCTGGATAAATGTCGTAGGCAGGCAGAATGTGGCCCATGGGCCGTAGTTTGAGAACACCTGCTCTAAAACAACCAAATTGCAGACTGTGGTTACACAGAAAAGTTATTTGAAGCGAAAAGTTTCATATTTCATTATGAGGCTACTTTATAGAAAAATGTGCCTAGGGAGACAGAAGGGGGCTGTTCAGGTTGGGTAGCCTGGCAGTAGGCTCACGAACCTACTTTCTGCCCTGCTTCTTCATCACCAGCCTGTGCCCCTGTCTCAAAGGACTAGGGCCTAGGGACTATCCTGAGAGAATTTTTTGAGCTTTGTGACATTCCTATGTTTGGATTTGTTGGTATCTGTTTCTGTTTCCCTTTTGGCCCTTTTCAAGGGTTTGGCTGGAAATCAAATTGGGATTTGAGATTTAGCATGAAAGTTGTGACCCAGTATTGGTCAAACACCCTTCTTCCATATGAGTATTTGGGGAATTTTTGAGGACAAGTTTCATTTCTTGCATTTAGATTCCTGATCCATTTTGAGTAGCTTTTTATATATGATATGAGATAAGGAAAGACAAGTGTTTCTGACCAGTAGATACAAAAGCTTGGCTTTGGAAACATGCCCTTGGGTGCAGTCCTCTGTAAATGTCATTTGGGACAACTGACTGATAAAATGCAGAGATAGTATGGGACTTTACATGATGTCTCATCAGAGCCTGCTTTTCTTTTAATTTCCATCTTTAGTATGAAGATGAGGAAGCTGCAGAAGAATTTAAAATTGCCAGCTTTGTGGACATGGTTCGAGACTGTAGTAGAATTGGCATTCCTTATAGCTCCCAAGGTGAGTATCTAACAGCAAGCAGTTTTGAAACCTTGCTTGAATGGTGTGTGAATCGAATGTCCCTACTTCTCCTTTCATTGGGGGCATTCAGCTGGGAAACTCCTTGATCCATTTTTACTAAAGGCAAAGGATCAAGCAGAATGAAATTGGGGGGCTTTTCTATGTAGGCTTGTAGTCATAACTGAAGTTTCTGCAGGAACACAGTAGGTGGCCTACAGTTAGGCAGAAGAACTAACACAGGATTTAGCACAATGGACATATAGTCTATATCACTTATTGTACATAGAGTGTAGATGTGGGCCCTCTTGGTAATAAGAAATAGTTATCTGGTTAGCTGTTAAAAAATACTGAGAGATTCAAACATGATGTGTAAAATACAGGAAAAAAATCAGTAAGTTTGGCAGCACTTATTTTATAACAACTACAGCAAAAATAACCTTGTACATTAATGCTCTTGTTACAAGGAAGAAAAATTTTTGATTTGGTAGTTTTCCCTTGAAGAAGTTGATTAGCTGTGTTTCTTGAATGAGAGGAGCCAAGTTTGGGTCTATTAATAATTATACCCATGAAATGATGCATGTCAGATGTAATATCCTATTTACTTATTTTTTACTTAATTAGGAAAGCAGAATATGAAAATATAGAGAAATCTGAATTTATGTAACTTGCTTATGGTTTGAATATTTATTGGCTTTCATTTTGTATTTCTAGATGCAATATCCAACGATTTTTTCTGTTTGAATTTTATTTTGCTAGATGAGGCTTTGGTGAACTTGTGAGAAATGATGCCTGTTTAACCACATTAGATCAGGTTTAGATTGTTATATCCAGGATGGTATTTGATATGTGCTGTATTGGATTCCTCTAGGTCACTTGCAGATATTTGATATGTTTGTGGTGGAAAAATGGCCAATCGTGCAGGCCTTTGCGCTTGAGGGCATTGGAGGAGATGGATTTTTTACCATGAAATATGAGGTATGTATGAAAAGCAGTATGTCTAGCTTTTGTCTGCCACTGGACTGTTTTTTAAAGGGCCCACCATGTGAGTGTTACATTATTATAACACTCCGAAAAGCTGGCAGTTATCTCCCAAGGGCATGGAGCAAGTTTGAAGACTTGAAATGGAAAACAGTTGCTGCTTAAGGCTAATCCCAAGCTGAACTCCGGTGTCTTATCTTCTTGGAGTTCCTCTCTGTCCTCCTTCCTCTCCTTCCCCCATCTGAGTTAACTTTTTTTCCTGTGTACTTCTATGACACCCTAGACTGACTGCTCTTATAGCTTTTATCGTCCTGGTATTATACATTCGTCACACATACCCCCACTCACTACCCACCCCTGATCTCTGGGCTAGAAGCTCCTTGAGTACAAAAACAGAGCCGTGTTGTTTGTACCCTCAGAAATTCATATAATTCGTGAACTATTTAAGGTCAATGAAAGGGATGGTGCAGAATTTATGTAAGTACAATATATTAAAGGAATAAAAGGGTTAGCTTTTGTGGTAAGGACAGTGTCTTTTATTTTAATATTCCTTGATTCTAGGAGATGACCAATAAGCATTTGTTAAGTGAATTAATGAGTGGGTCTGGGAGAAGCAGTTGTCCAGAACACAGATTAGGGAGGACAGCCTGGTAAGTTAGCAGCACGGCCATAGGCATCTGTGTGCTTCCATAAGATCCCCACTGAAATGAAATGCCCCCAGCACAGGAAACCAGGAGAGGGAGTCATGCTAGAAATGAGGACATCCTGCTAGAGAAAGAGTCAATGGGACCTTTAGAAGCAAGGCACAGGGCTAATTCCTACCCCTCCTCTGAGAAGCACCAGCATCCCTAGAAAATGAGTTGAGGCTTGCCTGGCAGAACCATGTTGCCCTCCAATGTGGAACAGCATGGGCTATAGGGCTGAAGAGAAGCGTACTGCTTGGACTCCACTTTTTCTGCTCCAAAACCACAGTATTGTCACATTGCACACAAGTAGCAGGACATCAACAAGGTGGTGGAGCTGTTCCTGTTAAGAAGTAATGCTCTCTAATTTAGAGGGGTAGGGGCTTGGAGGGAGGCAGGCCATGGGGACAAAGAGGAGGCTTAATATTTTTACAATAATGGTAATATTTATATTTAATGAACTGTATGAACTAGGCATCCATAGAGTGCCTGCTATATGCCAGACTATTCTAAGCACTTTATGTGAATTGACCGATTCAATTCTTATAGAAACCTTCTGAGATGGGTACAATTTTACATGGCTGTTTAAAGAGAGATTAAATGAATTTCCCAATGTCACAGAGCTAGTGAGAGGCAGGGCTGGGGCCAGCTCCAGACAGTCTGGCTTCTGAGCCTGTGCTGCTAACCCCTGGGCTGCACCTAGAATCGCACTGGAAAACGTGCACTGGGAGCCTGGACATGATATATGTCACTTGATCTGTTCCAAGTGAGACAGGTTTTCTGGCTCCTGCCTTAAGGTCCATCACACCATGAAGTCATATTCAAAAGGAACAAAATCCCCTCCTCCCAAAAAACCCTTTGAAAGGTCATTTAGATCTTTACTGTCGGGTGGTGTTTTTAGGTGGGGGGAAGGGCCATGAGGAAAAAAATGACATAGGTCATATGATAAGAGTTACTGTAGATTGGCATGGTGGCTCACAACTGTAATCATAGCACTCTGGGAGGCCAAGGCAGAAGGATCACTTGAGCTAAGGAGTTTGAGACCAGCCTGAACAAAAGCAAGACCCCATCTCTACTAAAAATAGAAAAAATTAGCTGGGCAACTAAAAATAGAAAAAATTAGCCGGGTGTGGTGGCACATGTCTACAGTCCCAGCTAATTGGAAGGCTAAAGGAGGAGGATCGCTTAAGCCCAGGAGTTTGAGGTTGCTGTGAACTAAGCTGATGCCCTGGCACTCTAGCCTATGCAACAGAGTGAGACTCTGTCTCAACAACAAAAAAAACAAACCAAAAGAGTTACTATAGATCTTCTTTCAAGGTCTCTCTCTCCAGGTTCTGCCCTTCTCTGTAGCTGATAATTTTCATTGTCTCAGATACTTTCCTTTTGTCCATCTCTTCCTCCCCACCTTACTTCTCTTCTTTACCTTGCCCCTCCTAGTCCTTTAAGGTGTGGAACAGTTTGGCCTACAGATCAGCTCTGCCTGTGTCTTCTCTCCTCTACTCTGATGGTTTGATGACTGCCTGAGCCAGAACGACTTTTGCCTCCTTTGAAGGCTAGGGAAGGAAAGCTACAGATACTAATAATTTTTAAAACTTCTGTTTTATTGCATGGCCATATCCAGAAGAAAGTTGTTAATTAACCCAGAGGATGTTTTGTCCCTCATTTGGTTGGTTCGAGAGTGAGAAAGGAAGCCAGACCCAGCTTTTACTTGACATTTAGGCTGATCTACACCAAATTGTAGATACAGAGAACTTTTTCTTCTGGGAAGCAGTAGAGGGAAGTTCCTCTGCTAGGACTTTCCCTCCCTCTGGCTTCTTTCTTCTTATCTTCCAGTTGCTGGAACTGTGACTTGGTAATGTAAATTGACATCAAGCAGCTCTCCCCAGGGTAGGATCCTGGTAGCAAACTTCTGAGTAATGAGAGTAACCAATAAGCATTCATTTACCTATTTATGACAAATATAAGATCTTCATATTGAAAGATGGAATAAGACTTATGAAAAGATTCAACAAAATATAGGGAAAAGAGCATAGCATATTAGATGCAGGGATAGATCAGCATGCTTTTAAAAAAGATTTTGACCAGGAAAAATAAATAATGATTGAGAAAACTATCTTTTTGTGGTACTTTTATTTATTTTTTATTTTTATTTTTTTTGAGACAGAGTCTCACTCTGTTGCCCAGGCTAGAGTGCCATGGCGTCAACCTAGCTCACAGCAACCTCAAACTCCTGAGCTCAAACAATCCTTCTGCCTCAGCCTCTCGAGTAGCTGGGACTACAGGCATGCGCCGCCATGCCTGGCTAATTTTTTCTATATATTTTTAGTTGGCCAATTAATTTCTTTCTATTTTTTGGTAGAGACGGGTCTCACTCTTGCTCAGGCTGGTTTCAAACTCCTGACCTTGAGTGATCCACCCGCCTCCGCCTCCCAGAGTGTTAGGATTACAGGCATGAGCCACTGTGCCTGGCCTTTGTGGTACTTTTTTTTTTTTTTTTTTTTGAGACAGAGTCTCGCTTTGTTGCCCAGGCTAGAATGAGTGCCGTGGCGTCAGCCTAGCTCACAGCAACCTCAGACTCCTGGGCTCAAGCGATCCTCCTGCCTCAGCCTCCCGAGTAGCTGGGACTCACAGCACGAGCCACCATGCCCGCTGATTTTTTTATTTATATATATAGTTGGCCAATTAATTTCTTTCTATTTTTATGGTAGAGACGGGGTCTCGCTCAGGCTGGTTTGAATTTGACCCTTGAGCAATCCGCCCACCTCGGCCTCCCAGAGTGCTAGGATTACAGGCGTGAGCCACCGCGCCCGGCCTGTGGTACTTTTAAAGAGCAAAATTTATAAAAAGAGAAAAGAGATACAGCAAGTGAGTAATCACAATTAAAAAAGGAGATGGATGACATATAAGGAAAGACTGTAAGATGTCTCGAATTTATTAGTAGAATATTTGCATTAAAAAGTAGACAAGAAATTTAGTAGCCACAAAAAATATAATAAAAATCAGAGGGAAAAAAAATCTCTCAGTTGACACACTTGAAAAGCTGTTCCAGAATACAGAGGAGGAAGCCAAATAGATTAAATCAATGAGGAAGAAAATACTAAAATGGAGAATAGAGAATATAAATTGATGATATTGAAAATGGAGGAATTGTAATAGTCTGTATCTTCTTCTGCCACCTCCTTCCGTCAGAGTGACAATCAGGTTTTTAACAGATGCCACCTCCACCATAGGGAAAACAAAGAACAGGGTTGGGTAGAAGTTCCTTAAAAAGACTGAAAAGCAAGGGCTGGGCACGGTGGCTCACGCCTGTAATCCTAGCACTCTGGGAGGCCAAGGCAGGCAGATTGCTCAAGGTCAGGAGTTCAAAACCAGACTGAGCCAGACTGAGCAAGAGTGAGACCCCATGTCTACTTAAAATAAAAAGAAATGAATTGGCCAACTAAAAACATATATAGAAAAGAATTAGCCAGGCATGGTGGCACGTGCCTGTAGTTCAGCTACTCAGGAGGCTGAGGCAGATATTAGACTGGTGGTGTGTACCTATAGTCTCTCATCCCAATACTAACCAGGCCCAACCCTGCTTAGCTTCAGAGATCAGACGAGATCCGGCATTCAGGGTGGTATGGCCGTAGACTGTAGTCTCAGCTACTCAGGAAGGTGAGGTGGGAGCATCACTTCAGCCCAGGAGTTCAAGGCCAACCTGTACAACTGTGCAACGTAGCAAGACCTTGTCTCGAGGAGGGGTGCGGGGAAGATCCAAATAGAACTTGTAGAGATGAAAACTAGTGTCTAAAATAAAAAATACGCTATATAAGATTAACAGCGTATTGGATACTGCAAAAGAAAAGATTAGTGAATTTGAAGCCATAGTAGTATTAACTATACAAGATGAAGCACAGAGAGAATAAATCCAAAAAACCCCCAGAAATACAGCATCACTGAACTATCCATTAGTCATAAGGACAGAATAAAGACATTTTAAAACAAGAAAACATTTGCCTCTCAATCCTTTCTTAGAAAACTATTGGATTATGTGTTCCAGCAAATAAGATAGTAAACCCAGAAAGAGAAGATAAGAAAGCTTTGGAACTAAATCCATCGACTAAGTGTTCCAGGATTATAGCAAAGAGAAGTCTCAAAACAGAAGTTGTAGTTGTACAGCAAGTTTACCTAACAGACCAGAACGAAACAGGAAGAAGAAAGGAATTGATAGATTATTTGATAGGTTTAAGCCAGTGATTCTCAACCAAGGATGATTTTCCCTCCCCCTCCATCCCCTCCAGACATTTGACAATGTTTGGAAATATTTTAGGGTTGCATTTAGCGGGAGGGGAGGGGAGGTGCTACGGGCAACTAGAGATTGGAGCCCCAGGGTCCTGCAAAGCATCCTACAATGCACAGGGTGGCCCCACACCACAAAGAATTGTCAGGTCCCAAATGAACATAATGTAGCTATTGAGAAACCCTGGAGTATTAGTAAATTGGGTGGGACAGTTAGAAGAAAGTTTGGAATTGATTTATAAAAAAATTATTCAAGTGAAAAAAATGAAACTGTTAGTACTTTTAACAGAAGTACTGTTAACAGAGGAAAAACAAAAATAAGAAAGCAAATAGGGGCCAGGTGCGGTAGCTCATGCCTGTAATCCTAGCACTCTGGAAGGCCAAGGCGGGCAGATCGTCTGAGTTCAGGAGTTCGACCAGCCGGAGCAATAGTGAGACCTTGTCTCTACTAAAAATAGAAAGAAATTAATTGGCCAACTAAAAATTTATAGAAAAAATTAACCAGACATGGTGGCACATGCCTGTAGTCCCAGCTACTCGGGAGGCTGAGGCAGAAGTTTGAGGCCAGGAGTTTGCTGTGAGCTAGGCTGACACCACGGCACTCTAGCCCGGGCAACAGAGTGAGACTCTGTCTCAAAAAAAAAAAAAAAAAAAATAGAGCAAATAGGAATGTAGTATGTACTTAGCCTGTAGTAAATACTATTTACATGGTTTTAACATTATAAACAATAATTGATGTAACCAAGAAAATCCTATTATGATATTAAGTGATGTTAGGGTGTATATGTGTAGAGAAACTGTGGGAATAGGGATGAGTGTAGAAGAGCTACATCTGTAATATAAGTCAGTATTTAATTTGTTAATTGATAAATCAAGAAATTGTGATGGAAACATTTTATATCAAAATATGGAGCTAAGTGCCAAAAAGAAAATGCTAAACGAATTCTAAGTGATTGCTTCTGAGGAGTGAGACTAATGAAGGTTTGTGAAAGGTTAGAGTAGGGGATTGAAAATTTTTATTACAAGCCTTTTGTACCATTTGATTTTTTTAAACTATGGACATGTGTAATTTTTATTTAAATTTTATTTTAAATAATGGCAAAAATTATATAATACATATGTATGTATGTTTGTGTGTGTACAAGTATATATGTGCCCATTGTTGAAGATAACCAAAGGATGAACCAAAGGTTCTGAAAAGTAGTTTCCTTGAATGGGAAAGCATTTAGTAATATGTATAGGTTGTACTATAATTGATAAAAATTTGGGCCGGGCGCGGTGGCTTACGCCTGTAATCCTAGCTCTCTGGGAGGCCGAGGCGGGTGGATTGTTGGAGCTCAGAAGTTCAAGACCAGCTTGAGCAAGAGCGAGACCCCGTCTCTACTAAAAAAAAAAAAAAAAAAAAAAGTTAATTGGCCAACTGAAAATGAAAAAAAAAATAAAGGAATAAAAAAAAAATTAAAAAAAATTTGATAAAAATTTGAGTTATTTTAATCACACTGAGTTTACACCAACATAGTAATTTCTGAACGTCAGAAAATAATTCTGATTGTCCTAATGATATCGACTTAATTATTTCAATGTTTTTGTCCTCTGTTGCAGTTGCAGGATGTGAGTTTGAATCTATGGAATGTCTACAGCAAGATGGACCCTATGTCTTTGGAGAGTTTGCTTTCAGAAGTAAGGAGCCAAACAGTATTTAACTTAAAAATAATATAGCCAGCTCAGTTATCCACTAGTAATATTTAGTTTGAAGAAATGCAAGGTATATGTTAGTTTGCTTTAGTTAAAGAATAGAGCAATTTCTTCCTTGATTGTGGTCTTGAATTCCTTGGGGGTAGTAGGGAGCCTAGAAAAGTGATACATTCCCTCTCTGAGTAGTACACTACTCTAAGTAGACCTCACCTGAGGCAAAAGCAAGGCCTCCTGCGTTGTCCTGGGTTTAGGTTTTCACCTAAAGATGTTCTTTCTGTTGGGTTGGATTTTAGCAAAACGGTACAAAGGGTGTCTTTTTTTGTACTTGTTTTCTGCATGAAAAGATAAAAAGTTGGGGTATAGCTTAAAGGAATCGACGATTAGAGCAGGGGTGGCAAACTTTTTCTGTGAAGATCTAGTTAGTAATATATGGCTTTGTGTGTCATGGAATTTGTTGCAGCTACTCCACAATGCCTTGGTAGCACAAAAGCAGCCCTAGACAATGCTTAAATAAATGGGCCTATCTGTGTTACAGGGAAACATTATTTACAAAAATATGTTGCCTGCCCATGTCAGGGTCAGGGAAGCAATTTGCAATGAGTAGCAACAAACAGAACTGAAGTTACAGGATAGGTACTTTGGTTAAGCAGCTCCATAGTGTCTCTCAGGGGTTATGGATGGGTATGCATGGTCATGGACTTGGAATCAGCCATTTCTCCATGGAGCTCTGTACATTTTAGTGAGAAATATTATTTAGAGACCATGATCTGGGCACTATGTGTGTTTCTTGCTTCTGTGGGAATATTAATTCTAGGTCCTTTGAGTGGGAATAGTAAGGAAATAAAGTAAAAGGATAATAATGAAAGCAAAAGATACAATTCCAAAATTGGATTTCCCTGAAATAATAGAAGATTTGGATTTTCATATTGAAAAGGGCATACCATATCCCAGAGAAAATTGCCCCAGAGTGGTCAACATTGAGAAATATCTTAGTAAAGTTAGTAGACTTCCCCCCCCCTCACCACAAAGCAACAACAACAACAACAAAATACTTTGGCAGCCAGGTATAGATAAAGGAGAAAATTTAGGGTGGCCTTGGATTTTGCCACAGCAGAAAAATAGTGAAGCAACACACCTGTGATAAAATCCGCAAGAAAAAAAATGTAACCCCCAAATTTTATATTGTGGTTCCAGTATAAAGGCAACTAACGTTTTGAATATATAAGTCCTGGAGCATATCGTTCTCAGGAGCCTCTAAAGAAATCTCACAGATTTTAGCCAACCACCATATGACTGGAAAAGCTACAGCAAAAGGACTGGCAGTGAGCTTTAGATCTTTTTTTTTTTTTTTTTTTTTTTTTTTTTTTTTTTTTTGAGACAGAGTCTCACTTTGTTGCCCAGGCTAGAGTGAGTGCCGTGGCGTTCAGCTTAGCTCACAGCAACCTCAAACTCCTGGGGTCAAGCGATCCTTCTGCCTCAGCCTCCCGAGTAGCTGGGACTACAGGCATGCTGCCACCATGCCCGGCTAATTTTTTTTATATATATATCAGTTGGCCAATTGAATTTCTTTCCATTTATACTAGAGACGGGGTCTCGCTCTTGCTCAGGCTGGTTTTGAACTCCTGACCTTGAGCAATCCGCCCGCCTCGGCCTCCCAAGAGCTAGGATTACAGGCGTGAGCCACAGCGCCCGGCCTTTTTTTTTTTTTGAGACAAAGTCTCACTTTGTTGGCCAGGCTAGAGGCAGTGCTGTGGCGTCAGCCTAACTCACAGCAACTTCAATCTCTGGGGCTCAGCGATCCTACTGCCTCAGTCTCCCGAGTAGCTGGGACTACAGGCATGCACCACCATGCCTGGCTAATTTTTTCTATATATATTTTTAGTTGGTCAATTAATTTCTTTCTATTTTTGGTAGAGACGGGGTCTCGCTCAGGCTGGTTTTGAACTCCTGACCTTGAGCGATCCACCCACCTGGGCCTCCCAGAGTGCTAGGATTACAGGATAGGTACTTTGCTCAGGGCCTGGCGTGAGCCACCACGCCCGGCCCTGAGCATTAGATCTTTTGATTATAGAATTAAAACTGAAGCATTTGAGAGAATTATGGTGATATGATAGAATGTAAATGTTACTAAAGCTTGTTTGTATAAATGACAAAACTAACAAATGTTGGTAGGAGAAAGAAGATAAAAGGTAATGTGACAATATTGTTTTCTTTATCTTTTATACCCAAGAGGTAGGGTATCAAAAGATGTCATTTAAAACCTGAAAAATCAACTAATAAATATATAAATAAGTAACACTACAAAAGGAACAGTAAAAGATAATAAAATTGGATAGGTAAGGAAGGAGAGGGAAAGAAGAAATATACTAACTTTAGGAAAAATATACTAACTGTAGGAAAAAGAAATATACTAACTTTATTATTGGACATGATCAGAGATTATTAGGTACTAAGGAAATTGAGCATTAAGGTTTTTACATTAGTTATAAGGTAAGCACTAGAACTTAGAGTAATAATAGTTTTTTTAAAACAACTTGTTAAATTCTAAACTTTCTTTTAATTCTTGATGTAAAGTGAAAATAAAAACTTAAATTGGGCCAGGCGCGGTGGTTCATGCCTGTAATCCTAGTGCTCTGGGAGGCCAAGGCGGGGTAGATTGCTCAAGGTCAGGAGTTTGAAACCAGCCTGAGCAAGAGCAAGACCCTGTCTCTACTATAAATAGAAAGAAATTAATTGGCCAACTAATATATATATGTAAATTTAGCCGGGCATGGTGGCTCATGCCTTAGTCCCAGCTACTTGGGAGGCTGAGGCAGAAGGATTGCTTGAGCCCAGGAGTTTGAGGTTGCTGTGAGCTAGGCTGACGCCATAGCACTCACTCTAGCCTGGGCAACAAAGTGAGACCCTGTCTCAAAAAAAAAAAAAACTTAAATTGGAGAGTGTGTATATATATACACACACACATACCCTTTATTTGTTTTATGCTACATTATACAAAAAACATTTAGAAAACAATATCAGCACTGTCACATGATTACGGAAAAGAATTTTATGTGTCTATTGTATATTCTGTATAATGTATATGCATATGTACACACACACACACATATATATATATATATGTATGTAGATAGATAGATAGTCTGGGCAGCAAGTAGAGAAGCCATTAGTAATAATGTTATTTACACTAAGTCTTCCCAGCAGAGGTTCATGGTGCCTCATGCCTAGGGCCAGAGCAGAGTTAGTACTTGGCTAGCACAGAGCCCACAGGTCTGAGTACTTGTGTATCCTCCACTGGAAGAGAAGAATGGAGGAGAGCATAGATCTGGCCAGTGAGTTTGGTGCAGCAAACAGAATATCTGCTGTGAGCAAAGCACCAGACTGGGTGCCTAACATACATACATTTACGTGCTATGTGATGGATAGTGAAGATAGGTACAAATTATTAGCAACTTTGGAATGAAAACAAAGATATTACTTGAGGAGTATCTTAATCAATCAAGTCACAGCTGGTGTTTTGTTGTTAACTGATGATGTCCTTAAGAACAACTAGTAGCAAAAAGCAATGTGTGGTGCTGGGAACAGGAAGGAGTTCAGAGAGGAGGCTGAAAAGCAGCTGGGATGGAGTAGGGAGCAGAGGCTTCCTGTAGAAGAGAGCCAAGTGGGAAGGACACATAGGTCCTTAGTACTCACGGGCCACTAGGAAGTAAATATGTGGAAGGGAAGGCCCTGTCCCATCCCTGATCCATGGACTTCTAACTAAGGTCAACTGATTTTGTCTTTGAACAAAGCTTCACTGATGTGACCCTCTGGACACTGGATTTAGTACCATCCTTTAGGTGCCTCATAAATAAATTCTTCTCCCCAAAAAAGTTGCCAGCGCCAGGCACTTTAAGATCATTACTGTCCTCTTAGAGTGCTTCAATGAAGTATAATTTATATACTATAAAATTCACCCATTTTAAGTATACAATTCGATGACTTTTAATAAATTTATAGAGTTGTATAACTATCACCACAATAGAATTTTAGGTCATTTTCATCAACCCAGAAATTTCCCTCATGCCTACATGCAGTCAGTCTCTAGTCCTACCCACAATCCCAGGATACCACTAATCTACTTCCTGTCTCTATAGATCTGCCTTTTCTGGATACTTCATATAAATGGACCATGTACCAGGTGGTCTTTTACATCTGGCTTCTTTCTCCTAGCATAATGTTTTTGACATTCATCTATATGGTAGCATATCTCAGTAGTTTGCTACTACCTTTTAAAAAAACATATATAAATGATCTGGTATTTTGAGATTTGTTGTAGTTTCATGATTTTGGTTTTCTAAAATATCTCCTTTATATGACCAAACACATTACATTTTTTCATTTTCTTCCTAGGATTTGGTAGCTTTTGAACATCAGTGGACTAGCTTCTTTGCTAATTTTGACACAGAAATTCCCTTCCTACTGGAACTTTCAGAATCTCAGGCGGGTGAGGTATGTAAAGGAAGGATCAAACAGGAAGAAGAAATTGGTTAATTTATTTATTGTTTAATTTTTTTATTAAAAAAACCCTTTTTTCCAAAATACAATATTGTCAATCCTAATTTGTTTATCATTTCTTTAAGCTGTGTTGTATGCTACAAAGAAATTCCACGCCCCTCATGTCAACCCCTGTATAAAAAGTTGTCTTTTTCCTGTGCCAGCTTCTCTATAGGAAGGATATTCACTTTTCAGTGTGGTGGTGCCAGGAATTCTGTTGGGCACTGGTTAATAAGCCTAGGAATAATTCTCCATGTGTGAGTAGCACACCTTTGTTGGTGGAACCTCCAGTTCATGAATGCCAAAATACATTCCTAGGCAAACAGTGGCAGTGAGCAGTTGCCAGCTTCAGGCTAAGACCCACTCCGTGAGTAAACTACAGTATCTAGATTGAGAACCCAGGCTTAGGACAGTCCTGAAAACTAGTCAACAGGAAGAATCAGAAGAGCATTGAGCTTGTACTTGAGCCTCCCTTGGGCTTGCACAGCCAGTCCTCACCTCTCCCGTGTCCCGTGCAAGCCCTCCTCCTGATCATTTGGAGCTGGAGTTGATCTTTGTTGTCATTTATTTTATTTTTACATATGCTATAAAGCCCACAATATAATGCTAGTATTTTTGTTCGAACCATCAATTCTCCTTTTTAAAAGATTTAAATAATAAGGAAAAAAATCTTACATATTTGCCCATGTAGTTGCTTTCTGTGCTGCTCTTCATTCCTTTATGTAAACCCAGAGTTCCATTTGGTATCCTTCTCCCTGAAAAATGTCCTTTAACATTTTCTGTGGTATGAATCTTCTGATGATAAATTCTTTCAGCTTTTCTATGTCTGAGAAAAATTTTTTATTTCGCCTTCATTTTTGAAAGATATGTTTGCCATGTATAGATTCTACGTTGACAGGTTTTACCTTTCAGTATTTGAGAGATGTTGCTTCACTGTCTTTTCGCTTGCATTGTTTCTGATGAGAAGTCTTTCATCCCATTCTTGGTATGTATCTTAGTCTTTCATCCTAATCTCTGTGCATAGCAGGTCTTTTTTTCTGTCTGGTAGCTTTTCTCTTTAATTACTGGTTTTTAAGTAATTTGATTATGGCATATCTTATAGTTTTCTTCGTATTTCTTGTGCTTGGGTTTTGTTGAGCTTCCTAGGTCTGTGGTTTTATAGTTTTCATTAAGTTTGGAAAGTTTTTGGCCATTATTTCTTTAATTATTTTGTCTGTTCCCCATTTCTTTCCTTTCCTCCAGGGATTCCAATTACCTCTACCTTAGACCACTTGAAGTGGTCTCAGTGATGCCCTTTTCAGTTTTTTGGGTTCTTTTTTCTTCTCTCAATACTGTGGTTTTAACAGTGAAAGGTATTTCAAAAAGGTATACTCAGAAGTGTCACTCTCATTTCCTACTTCCATGTTCTTATTCCTCTCTTCTTTCTACCTCTTTCCATCCACTCCATTAATGGCAGGTAATAAATCTCTTTAGTTTCTGGCTTATCTTTTCTGTTTCATTTGCACAAATGAACAGAGATATATGTATTTTCTCATATTCTCTTCTTTCTTATAGTGAAGGGTAGCATATAGTCACTTCCATTTTGCTTTTTCACTTAACAATATATCCTGATCTCTCCCTAAGAACTGTCTATTAAGATCTTATCCATTCTGTGTGTTACAACTCATAGTATTCCATTTTGTGGATTTATCTTAATTTATTCAGCCATTCTCTTATGTATGCATATTTAGGTTGTTTTCAATATTTTGCCATTGCAAAAGTATCATAGTAAATAACTCTGTGCTTATGTATTTTCATATTGTTGGAGGTATATATACCTAGTAATGGGATTGCCGGGTCAAAAGGTAAGTGTGTACATAGTTTTGTTAGCTGTTGCCAAATTATCCTTTAGAAGGGTTGTACCAGTTTGCATTTCCACCAGCAATATCTGAGAGTGCCTGTTGTTCTACAGCCTCACCAATAGAATGTGTTACTTTAAATTTTTCTGTCTCATAGAGGAGAAATAGTATGTCAGTATTCTTTTAATTTACAGTTCTCTAATTATGATCAAGTTTAAACATTCTTTCAAATGTTTGAGGGCCATTTTATATTTTGTTTTCATGTCTTTTTCTCATTTTAATATTAATACAATATTATTATTATTATTATTATTTTTTATTTTTTTTTGAGACAGAGTCTCACTTTGTTGCCCAGGCTAGAGTGAGTGCCATGGCGTCAGCCTAGCTCACAGCAACCTCAATCTCCTGGCTCAAGCAATCCTCCTGCCTCAGCCTCCCAAGTAGCTGGGACTACAGGCATGCGCCACCATGCCCGGCTAATTTTTTGTATATATATTAGTTGGCCAATTAATTTCTTTCTATTTATAGTAGAGACGGGGTCTCGCTCTTGCTCAGGCTGGTTTCGAACTCCTGACCTCGAGCAATCCACCCGCCTCGGCCTCCCAGAGAGCTAGGATTACAGGCGTGAGCCACCGCGCCTGGCCCTTGATACAATATTATTAACTGAACTATACAGCATAGGTTTTGGGAGGTTTTTTGTCCATTCACTTTCAAGTATTTGTTATACATTTGGACTATTAGCATTTTGTCTCCAGTATATATTCCACATATTTTTCCCATGTTTATCAGTAACTTTGTTTACAATGTTTTTTTTTTACCATGCAAACTTTTATTTTTATGTAAATTGATAAGTCTTTTTTATAGCCTCTGGATTTTGAGTCATTGTATAGGGAAAGGCTTTAATTAAAGTTTGAAAAGCGGCCGGGCGCAGTGGCTCATGCCTGTAATCCTAGCACTCTGGGAGGCCGAAGTGGGCGCAATGCTCGAGGTCAATAGTTCGAAACCAGCCTGAGCAAGAGCGAGACCCCGTCTATACTATAAATAGAAAAAAATTAATTGGCTAACTAATATATATAGAAAAAATTAGCCGGGCATGGTGGCGCATGCCTGTAGTCCCAGCTACTCAGGAGGCTGAGGCAGCAGGATTGCTTGAGCCCGGAAGTTTGAGGTTGCTGTGAGCTAGGCTGATGCCACGGCACTCACTCTAGCCGGGCAGAGTGAGACTCTGTCTCAAAAAAAAAAAAAAAAGTTTGAAAAGTAATTCATCCTTCTAGTAATTGTAAGGTTTAAATTTTTTCAGTTAGATCCCTATCTGTATGGAATATTCCTATATGGAAGTTTTTTGTGCATATAGTATGAGATACGGACCTAATTTTATCATTTCTTCCCAAATGATTGCCCAATTTGAATCCCAGCAATTCACTGTCTCTGTGACCCTGGACAAGTTAATAAACTTTTGTGTGTTAGTCAACTCATCTGTAGAGAGGAGATAATGATAGAATGAACCTCATAGGTTGTTATTAAGATAGCTTGAGTGATATATTTAAGTGCTTATCACAGTTCACATGATAAGCCCACAATAAATGTTAGCTATTATTTTAATCTATAAGAGTTTTTACATATCAGTAAGGTGTGTAAAACTCTAATTGATAAATATGCAGAGAATGTAAGTAAATAACCAACAAAGGGAAATCCAAATGGCCACTGAACATATCTAAAATATTCTACTTCATTAAAAAGTGAAGGGATGTAAAAGAAGACAATTGCAAGGTCCCATTTTTCATTTATCAACTTGGCAAATACATTGAAACCATTTTATAGGCAGAGCTTATGAGGATACCTGAGATAGGCACATTCATATATTGCAGGTGGAAGTGTATGTGGATAGAACTTTCTTGAAAAACAATTTGGCAATATAGTTCTGCCTTTTTACCCTATGATTTTATTTCCAGATCTGCTTTAAGGAAACAATCAGACCTGCAGATAAAATTTATTAAGTTGTTCATTATAGTATTGTTCATATACAAGGGTTAGCAAAGTAAAGTATAAAATAGTATAAATTTCTAAGAATAGAGGACGATTTAATAAACTTTAGTACAATCATATATAGTCCATGGGTATAACCTAGAAAAAAGTATGAAGAAAATTTACCAGAATGTTAATAATTCTTAGAAATTATAGGTGGTTTTTAATTGTGTTCTACGATGAACATACGTTACTATTCAAGTAATCAGAACTGTAGATGTTATTAAATAAGGGGATTAAAATTACCTTTTGAAATTTTGAACCCTTTCGGCACTAGGCCCTGCATGTTAATTTTTTTGTTTTGTTTAACTTTTAATAAAACCCAATGTGGATAAATCATGTTAAGTTTTTTTTTCCTTTTATTTTATCATATTATGGGGTTACAAATATTGTTAGGGTTACATATATTGCCCCTGCCATTCCTCCCCCCAACCCCATCCTTGCCAAAACATCAAGCGTGTCCAACCCTCAGGTAGTGCACACCACATCTATTTTGTAAGTATATATCCTTTTCTTCCTCCCCCCTCCCATCTGCCCACCACCCGGTAAAAGTTTTCTTTTTCTTTCCTTTTTTGACCTTTTGGTTATATTGTATATCTTTTCCTCTCCCTACGAAGGGTTAGAGGTATTCCCTTCCTAATCATGTTAAGTTTTGATTAGTGTTTTGCCTAACATTCATCTAACAGCTCATAATTACATTTTTGGTTTCTCTGGAAACTTCTGTCAGTGTATTTTTAAATTCCCAAATTCCTCCTCATTGCAGATTTTAAATTAGCATATTAGAATTAACATATAGTAGTTTATTGAAAATGTAGAAAAAATATTTAAATAGAATTTTTAAAATCTGCACATGGTTAGCAACTTAGACCATAGATAATAGTCCAATTTCCTCTCAGTTAAAACAGTATAAATTTGAAATTTTTTTTCTTTACTTTTTTTTCTTTTGTAGCCTTTTATCTTTTTTCTTTGCTTTTTTTTGTTTGCCACTTGTTCCCAAAATTCATGTTGCTATCCACCACACATATCTTTCCATGTTCTTATAATAATCTACAAACATATATATCTGTCTTCCCCCCTCAATACACATACACATGTAGTCTCCTGAAGTGTGTATGTACATACACAGATGAGGGGTTTTGTGATTGTTTCACAAAATTGTTGTCTTAATATATACAATGTTGGATTTTTTTTAGCCATTCAGAAGTTACTTCAGTCATGGAATGATCTCCAGCCATATAACTGAAAACAGGTAAGGTTCTTTCTCAGGGAAGAAGGGTGAATGGTGATAGAGAAAACGGAGTTGACCAGACAGGGTGGATATAGAAGGAGCATCCAAGTCCGGAAGCTAGAATCAGAAAAATATGGGTTGACTTTAGTCATCACAGGGTAAAAACGTCATACTTTATAAATTCATCAGTGAAACAGATGAGTTTATATATATATATATATATAATTTTAATAGTGAACTACTTTATAAAACATTGTAGCCTGCTAAAATCTAAAGAAAATACTTTTTTATTTCATTCTTAACTTGGGAAAATGAGAGGAAGCAGAGTATCCAAGTGCTGGGCAGGGGAGCCACTGTGGCTCACAGGGAATAAAAGAGATCAGCTGTAAAGTTCCAGTCCCATAGAGAAGATGAGAGGCCGGGCATGGTGGCTCATGCCTGTAATCCTAGCACTATGGGAGGCCGAGGCAGGCGGATCGCTCAAGGTCAGGAGTTTGAAACCAGCCTGAGCAAGAGCGAGACTGTGTCTCTGTTAGAAATAGAAAGAAATTAATTGGCCAACTAAAAATACATAGAAAAAATTAGCTGGACATGGTGGCACATGCCTGTAGTCCCAGCTACTTGGGAGGCTGAGGCAGGAGGATTGCTTGAGCCCAGGAATTTGAGGTTGCTGTGAGCTAGGCTGATGCCACGGCAGTCTCGCCCTGGCAACAAAGTGAGACTCTGTCTCAAAAAAAAAAAAAAAAAAAGATGAGAGCAGTGAGGGTTCTGAAGTGTTTCTGTCCATATCTCTCTGTCATAAGATTAGCAAGAGATAACTTCCTCTTGTGGATAGAGGAGAGTAGATGGTTTTTCTTTTTTCTTCCCTCAATTCTGGTTCAATCCAATAGTGAGACAGATTTCCCTGGCTTAGACTCAGAGTCATCTTTTTCTGCCTAGAGTGCCACTTAGCTTCAGAAGAAAACTCAGTCTTGTTTACTTTTAAGAACTCTTGTTTGTCTGAAGTTTAAGATAGTATTTTTAAGTGTGATGAAAAGAAATGTGAAGAATTTTTCACATGACACACACTAAGGGCAATTTAGGAAAAAGCCAGGGGATACTGTCATCACATATTTATTGAGAACATATGATACACCAAGCAAGAGAGAAACATGGTTAAAAAAATAAAGCAAATATGGTCTCTGCCCTCAGGAAGTTTATAGTGTGATAGAGAAACAAGACATTAATTGAACAACCTCATACAGAAGTTTATCATTACCAGCTCTGACTGGTTCCATGAAGGGGAAAAGTACTGTGAAACCCATCACTAGAGAGACTGGCTGCCCCTGAGGAGAGCTGAATGATAAGCCAACTAGAAGGAGGAGGAAGAACAGAGACCCTGAGACAAGGACGCTAGAGCCATGAAAGAAGATGCGCTTGGCTAGAGTGTGGGCATCAGAGACAGTGCCCCTGCATGGAGCTGAAGAAGTTGACCAGATCATATGTGTCCTTATCAGCCATGTATATGATTTTAGCCCTTCTGAAAATACATAAAGGCAGCAAGTGCTTTGCATGTTTAAAAGATTATCATCACTGCAATGTAGAGAATAGATTATGGGAGCTCAAGAGTGGAAGCAGGGAAACAGGAAGAGTTGCATTTGTCCAGGGAAGAAATGATGGCAGCATGGACTAGGGTGGTGGCCGTGGATGGAAGGAAATGGCTAAATAGGAATGATTTTGGGGAAATTGATTGGATTTAGAGGGTGAGGAAACAGGAGTCAAGGAGGCCTCTCAGATCTGACATGGTCCCTGGATGCCATTTATATACTACAAGAACTGGAGAGGGAATAGGCTTCAGGGTAGACCATCAGAGAGGAGAGCAGAAAGTAGAGAGCTAAGAGCAGAAGGTAAAACCCTAGGACCATTCAGAGGCCAGGTAGAGACTGGGTAGTCTGAGAGGCAACAGTCTTGCAGTGGAGAGTGTCAAGTGCTTCTGAGAGACCAAGGAAGGAAGGGCTGAAGGCTGTCTATCGGATTTGTTGTCTGCTACGTGAAAGTTATTTGGTGACTTCGTCAAGAGCTCTCTTAGTGAAATGACTAAGAGAGTTAATTACAGTGGGCTGAGAAGTGCGCAGAAAGTAGGGTGGAGGGTGGGGGAAGTTCCTCCAAGAGAAGAGGGAAGAATTGGACAGGTACAGGGGCAAGTAGGTGTGGTAGTGAGAAAATTTGCAACCCTCCTCTCCTCCTTCCCTCCTGAAAGTTACTCAGGATTTGGTGACTGCCACATTGTCTGTCTAGTCTGAGTATCACAACTACTGTCATTCTTTAAAACTTGTATTTCTGTTAAAATGCTATTTTATAAAACTGGAGGTTTGTTCAATCACTGCATCATGGACAGTGAACTTATGGAACTTATTTCTCAAAAAATGGGACCAGCTGAATATATAAGCCTAGTTTGGGTTTAGTTATGTCCCTAAATGACTGATCCCTGTGGGTCAGTAGGAAGAGTCAGAGACATCTGGCATCCCTTCCCAACTAGCCAGGAACATTAAGTAGACTGTACTGACCACTCAGACTGCAGGACGCTGCTCAGAAAAGCTGGAGGCCTCAAGAAGGTCATGGGAAGTTGCCTTGGCCAGGAATCTCTTTTCTAATCACATGTTTTTGACTTGCCTCTCTAGCCCTAATAGGCAGCCATTTGTTCTCTTTGGTAATCACTCCACACGAGAAAACCTGAATGCTGGCAACTTTAACTTCCCTTCTGAAGGACACCTGGTACGCAGCACTGGTCCTGGTGGGAGCTTTGCCAAACACATGGTAAGTGACTGGACTGCCTAGTGCTTGATTAGTTTTATCAAACTGGGGGAGGGGAGCTAGACAAAAGGAACTGTTTCTAATTAGTGTGTTGTGGAGTGAAAAGTTAACCCTGAGCTTAAAGTTGTTGTGGAGTGAAAAGTGATTGGAAACTGACTATATGAATTATATATATATATATATATATAGATGGACTATATAAGTACAAATTATTTCGAAAACAGTCATTCCAAGCCTAAGTTGGTATGTCTTAACAGTTACATTTAAGGACATAAACCTAGATGATTGTTTATTGAGAGTGCCAGGGAGAATATTTTTGTACTTGATGGTCTATTACTTGCTACATTCTTTTTTTTCTTTTTTCAGATACATGGCATGCAGCTAAGCTACATTCTTTTATTTATTTTTTTATTTTTATTTTTTTAAGACTATAAGAGTTAAAGTTTAATTCACACAGATTAGCTTTCTTTCAAAGGAAAACATTATGTGACAATTCACACTTGAATACCTGGTATAACACAAACTTCCACTCTATCTGGCACAGACATATTCAACATGCTATATTAAGTATAATCTCCATTTTATTTTTCTCCAACGGATAGTTTTTCTTCAGTCCTCAAGGACTCAACTCCTTACATAGGCTTTGGTGGAGGTCTTGGGGCAGCACCCGCAGGTCTAAATCTGGGTGGGGGTGTTCAGTCCTTGCGGGCTTCCTGAGAACGATTCCTGACTACCTTGCTGTGAATGGCACAACTCACACAGTAATGTAGCTTCACGTACAGCTCGGGAAGCACATAGGCATCGAAGACACTCGCTTCAGATATGTCCCTGACAGCTGCAGCCTCCACTATGTTCCGAATGACAAACTTCTTTATGGCCTTGTCTTTAGGCACGCGCATTGGGCACAGTTTGTGCAGCGGAATAGGCTGCACATGGCTACGGCCCTTTTTGGCACAACTGTTGTTCCTTCTTTTCTTTGTCATCTTGGAAATGAGGATGCGAAAAAGCTTATTTTTTTTTTTTTTGAGATAGAGTCTCACTCTGCCTGGGCTAAAGTGCCGTGGCATCAGCATAGCTCACAGTGACCATAAACTCCTGAGCTCAAGCAATCCTTCTGCCTCAGCCTCCTGAGTAGCTGGGACTACAGGCATGCACGACCATGCCTGGCTAATTTTTTTTCTATGTATTTTTAGTTGTCCAATTAATATCTTTGTATTTTTTAGTAGAGACAGGGTCTCGCTCTTGCTCAAGCTCAGGATGGTTTCGAACTCCTGACCTTGAGCCTGCCTCGGCATCCCAGAGTGCTAGGATTACAGGCGTGAGCCACTGCACCCAACCTTAAAATGTTTTTAAAAGTCATGCTATGAAGCATGGTTTAAATTCTTAACCAATTACATATTATAACTGCTTAAGAAAACCCAAACCTCTTTCCTGAGAAAAATGTCCGAATGTGTAGATAGCACTATATTGGCCAACACCTGTGCTAATGTGTTGACCTTTTTTCTGAGGTACACTTCAAATTCATGTATTCAGGTGTACACAATTGAAAGACAACTCTGTCCCTTCAAAACCTGGGGTTTAAACCATATGGCTCTCATTCATAATACAGAATAGCTGTAATACAGCTCATCCAATCATGATGAAAGAAATTCATTTTTGCCTGATATGAGTATTTGTGGGGGAGGAAGAAAGCAAGATATAGTCCTCTATTAAGTTAAATATAGTAGTCCCAAGGGGGATATGTTCCAAAACCCCCAGTAGATGCCTGAAACTGCAGATAGTACAGAACCTTATATATATGTTTTTTTCCTATAGTCACATTGTATATAGAGAGTAACATATACAGTGTGGATATTTTATTTTATTTTATTTTTTTTGAGACAGAGTCTCACTTTGTTGCCCAGGCTAGAGTGAGTGCTATGGCATGTCAGCCTAGCTCACAGCAACCTCAAACTCCTAGGCTCAAGCAATCCTTCTGTCTCAGCCCCCAAACAGCTGGGACTACAGGCATGCGCCACCATGCCCAGCTAACTTTTTTCTCTGTATATTATTTGGCCAATTAATTTCTTTCTATTTTTAGTAGAGACAGGGTCTCACTCTTGCTCAGGCTGGTTTCGAACTCCTGACCTCGAGCAGTCTGCCCGCCTCGGCCTCCCAGAGTGCTAGGATTACAGGCGTGAGCCACCGCTCCTGGCCTAATTTTTTCTATATATATTGGTTAGCCAATTAATTTCTTTCTATTTATAGTAGAGATGGGGTCTCACTCTTGCTCAGGCTGGTTTCAAACTCCTGACCTCGAGCAATCCGCCCGCCTTGGCCTCCCAGAGTGCTGGGATTACAGGCGTGAGCCACCGCACCCGGCCTAGTATGGATATTTTAAATAAAGGGATGATTTATATCTTGAGTGGGATGGAACAGAATTGTGAGAAATTTCAACATGCTAGTCAGAATGGTGTGCAATTTCAAACTTATGAATTGTTTGTTTCTGGAATTTTCCATTTAATATTTTCAGACCACAGTTAACTGTGGGTAACTGAAACCATGACAAACAAAACTGTAGATAAGGGGGACTACTGTAATCAGTAAGAAAAGTTTGTTATTGAAGATTTTTGTATAATATTACTCTATTACCTTAACTGGAGTTCATTTCTTTATATCTTTAAGGTTAAGGTATTAAAGTAGAAATTTCTACAAAAAAGAAGAAAAATATGTGGAGTAAATTTAGATGTGTATTGCTAAGTGAAAGAGGCCAATCTGAAAAGGCTGCATGCTGGTGTACTGTGTGATTCCAGTTGTGTGACATTCTGGGAAAGGCCAAGCACTGGAGCCGGTTAAAAGACTAGTGGTTGCCAGGGGTTTGGAGAGAGGGAGGAGAGGAGAGTAGAAAGAGCATAGAAGATCTTTAGGGCAGTGAAACTATTCTGTATATTCTAGTCATGGTGGACACGTGTCATTATACATTTGTCCCATAGACAAATGGGGGAGGGAGAAAGAAGTATGTGGGAACCCTGTACTTTCAGATAAATTTTCTATAAACCTAAAACTGCCCTAAAAAATAAAGCCTGTTAATAAAAAAAAATTAGCCAGGTTATTTATACAACTTCTGTAATAATTGGGGAGTGTTGTCTATCTTTCCTTTACAAACATGGAAACCCAGCAAAGACAAAGCATTTCTTTGAGATCCAGTCCTGAGGCTGGGAGGCCCTGGCTTGTGACCTTTCCTCTTCAGCTCTATTCTGAAGTAGCATCTTCAACCCTTTCCATTTCTGTACTATTTGTGAATAACTTGCAAATTAATAAGTATCATATAAAACATGCAAACCTAGATAATTTGAGTAGTTTTCCATTATATATGCAAATTCTGTTATGCCCATTTTTTTAAAGCAAATGTCAGTAAAATTTGATGTTAATATGTGTGTACTCAAATTTATGACATGACCTAAGGAAGCAGGTTTGAAACACTTGGCACCTTTAAAAAAATCTTTAGTAAGGGAAAATTTGGAAATCCAAAGAACATATTTTAATTGAGGAATATACATATTAACCAACAGTTAGAAGTACATTCATGATTTTTCATTTAGTGTGATGGGAATATTGATGATGTTCACCGCAGTGAATTATAGGTTAGTTAGAATAAGCTCTAATTTCAAATCTGTAACTTGGATTTACAGTATTATAGAAAAATGCAATGTATTCTAGTGTGGCTTCCTTAAACAATGAAGTAAAATAGAAGGAATGTTTATTTGTGTCATATTTAGCTATTTTTTCTATATTGTATTAATTTCTGTCCCTTCTTTCTTGTGGTAGTATTTTTGCATTTTGTACCTGCTGTCCTAAGAGCCCTCATGAGTGTTGGATTTTCATATAATGGATTTCAAAGAACATCCATTATATCTCTGTATGAATGAACAACTTGGTGGGGAAGAAGAATAAAATTTTGAAAACCTAAAGGAACTCTCTTCTCTTCTGCAAGGGCTATGTACAGAAGTGAAATACAGATGAAGTGGGGGGCTAGGTAGCACCCTTGTTTCCTGAATTTGTAGTTACCTCATACCTCTCTGCCTGTCCTGTCAGCCAAGGTCCTCACTGTGAAAGCTCTAGACTGACTATTAATGGCAGTCAAAACCCACACATATTTCCTCTTTTTTTCCTTGTGAGTTGTGAATTCATTAGCATCCTGGGCTGACTGAGTATCTAACAGTAAATTTGCAATATAGCCTAGGTTTAACCCCCCAACACACATATATACAGAAGATACCTTCGGAAAAAATTAAAGGTGATTTTTTTTCCTTTGTGTCTTTAAAAAATAATCAATTTGGTAAAAGAAAAATTATTTCCATTTACTACATACTTTTTGTTTTAGTAGTACATGCCTATGTCCCTACTCCTTTATTTTTGTTTTTTTCTGACATCCAGGTAGCACAGTGCGTCTCACCAAAGGGACCTCTTGCTTGTTCAAGAACATACTTTTTTGGAGCTACTCATGTTCCTTACCTGGGTAAGTTTCTGTAGGTCATCATCTTATCAACTTACTTAATGATTGGTTTCTCCTATGAAATAGAAGTCGATACATGATTTACTACTTTTGCTTATAAACTCATAGTACCCAATTTGTGGGCTTTTATCTCTCTCTCTGATTACTGCGGGAGAGTTGATGTGTCTTATCACATTTTTCACAGAATGTATTTCCAGAGAAAAATTATTGGTTCAGTCCATATTAAGTGTAACCATGTGTAAGACCCTGTGCTCAGTGTCAGAGGGGAGGCAAAAATGAATGAGACCTACTTTGAGAAAGTAGGAGGTATGGGCTGCAGTGGGAGTTTGCATGACATGGCCAGGTGCCCACTGACTATGCTTGTGAGCAAAGTAAGAAAGGGCCATGATAGAAGGGTACCCAGGAGCTGGAAACATGCTGCATGGCCTTCCAGAAAGGCTGGGCTGACTAGGGTTTCCTTTCTTACTGGGATAACCAGAAGCTGCAGGCATCCAGAGAGACATGTAGAAGAACCTGTAGAATGAATGTGGGTCTCAGCACTGCTACACAGAGGAGAGTATATCAAAAGCCAGGTTTTCCCCTGGGTGTTGTTAGATAAGCTGGGAAATGCCAGAAAGAAGCATGACTTGGATAAGGTGATTAAGGAGATAAAGAGATGGAACTGAGCCTGTTTACTGATACCTCAAACTTTAAAAAATTAAAAATAAAATCAAAAACATTCCAGAGCCTGAGATTCTGCATATCTTCTCTTCTGTTTAGTGGCGGTGCGGAGTGGTTGTAAAAGTGGAAAATACCGACAGTGAAGGTCCAGGGGGCTATTGGGAGAAGTCAAGTTCCACCATTGTTGGAGCTTGTACTGTATTTAACTTAAAAGAAAAAATATATAGTTCTTGACCACACCTTTAAAGTAAATGAAACATTTGTAGCTTCCTTATGAAGTGTTTACATAGCCTGTGCTCCTGTCGCAGTCTTAATCCATGGTATTCTTTCATAGGTGATGACAACAAGTTGCCCAAGAAAACTGAACAAATGTAAGTCTTCATATTTATTTTATTTTTTCTTTCTCAAAATTGAATTACTCAGTTGTGGCTGTCCTGTCTACTCCTTTTTGAGATCGGCGGTGATTAAGACATCTTGTTTATGGCATGAACATTGCTGTGTAGCTTCCCAGGAGGTCCCCATCTCCTGTCTCTCAGCTTGGAATTCAGTCCAGAGGACCCTGCCAGCTCTGCCATCTGCTCTTTTCTCCAGCACTCAGAGACTTCCTGCCCACATACCCCTGCATTTATGTGACGGAACTGTCCTTAATGTGTTTTCTACAAGTAACTCATTTTTTATTGAGGGATTTTCTGAGAATAAAATGTCCTGAAATCCCCTGGAAAAATTTGTGTGAAACTCCCTCTGATCTGAGGAGTGCTTTCTCTGGATTTAACACTCAGGCCTATGGAACAGAGCTAGGATCTGAACCCTGGCTGTCCAACTTAGAAAGGTTCTACCTATTGCTGACTTCTCTCCCTTCACGTACAACAAACAGGAAACCAAAGACAGGAAATAAACTCATCAATGCTGAATCTATTGAATTCCAGAAAGCATCCTTTTTCAGATATATGGACATAATAGACTTCTTTTTTTTTTTTTTTTTTTTTTTTTTTTTTTTTTTTTTCTTGAGACAGAGTCTAGGCTAGAGTGAGTGCTATGGCATCAGCCTAGCTCACAGCAACCTCAAACTCCTGGGCTCAAGCAATCCTTCTGCCTCAGCCTCCCGAGTAGCTGGGACTACAGGCATGTGCCTCCATGCCTGGCTAATTTTTTCGATATAAACTAGTTGGCCAATTAATTTCTTTCTATTTATAGTAGAGACGGGGGTCTTGCTCTTGCTCAGGGTGGTTTCGAACTCCTGACCTTGAGCAATCCGCCCGCGTCGGCCTCCCAGAGTTGTAGGATTACTGGCGTGACCCACTGTGCCCAGCCCATAATAGAGTTCTATTATTACATATTTAAATACCACAGCATAAACTGGTGGGGTCTAGACTAGTGCTTCCCAAGGCCACAAAGGATTATCTAGGTTTCCCAGGCCCAATGCCATAACTATTGAATCAGAATTTCTAGGGCCCACAAAGCCATATTGAGAAAAATATATATACAAATATAATATGAGTAATAGAATCACACTACAGAAAGTATGGAAATAGAGAAAAGAAAATAAGATCAGCCCTTAATTCCTCCTTTGTGCACTGCCAATTAGTGTCTTAATGTATGTCTTTTTGGGCTTTAAAAAAATTATTCATTTAGGTTTTTTTTTTTTTCTTTTTGTTTTTTTTAGAGACAGGGTCTCACTCTTTCAACCAGGCTAGAATGCAGTAACATAATCATAGCTTACTGCAGCCTCAAACTCCTGGGCTAAAGCAATCCTCCTGCCTCTGCCTCTTGAGTAGCTGGGACTAAAGGTGCATGCCGCCACACCTGGCTAATTTTTCCTATTTTTTGTAGAGACAGGGTCTCTCTATGTTACCCAGGCTGGTCTTAAACTCCCAGCCTCAAGTGATCCTCCTGACTTGGCCTTCCAAAGAGCTGGGATTACAGGCGTGAGCCACCACACCCAGCTCGTTTAGGTTGTATGTAGCTGTAATAATGTGTATACAGTTGTTTTTGCGGTTTCCTTCACTTTAGCAATAAGTCAACCATTTTCTCATGTATTGGTGGGTGTGGTCTTGCCTCCTGTCTGCTGTGCTTCCATGCCAGCAGTGCTTAGCCACTGCCTTGGATCCTCATCGTGAACCCTTAGACATTTTGCCTACACATCAGGAGTACCTGGGCCCACATTGAGAGATTTGCCAAATCACAGATCCAGTGGAATTTGGTCCTTTTGGAGTTCTAATGAAAGTTGCAGCAGTGCTATCCAGGTCATTTTATGGGTTGGTAGCCAGGTGGCTTGTGTGTTGAGCTCTTTTCTGAGGCTCTGTATAGAAGGCCAAGCAAGGTGGGTGCCTGACCAGTGTTGGTACTGAGTGATATTTGATTCAAGCTCAGAAGGGGAATATCTTTACATCTTTGGGGTTGGCCTCTATCAAACTTTACCCTTAGTGTTAAGGTATGGAGGATTCTGGTCTTACCTGGAAGTGATCAAGCTCATTGATAGTGTCCCTGCCAGGCCCCTTCCTACCAGGGTGTACCCTCTGCTCTGCTGTCATTTTGTTATATGAACTCTCTGTCCCTTTTTCTCCTCCAAACCAACTCGCATCTCTTACGTACAATGTGGAGGTGTCGTGCAGGAGCCAAGGAGGAAACTGAAGGAGGTAGCAATGTGATGTGGCACAGTGGAAAAGCACCAGGCTGAGAGCAGGTCTGAATTCAGGTCTGCCATGAATTGTCTATGTTGGCCTTAGACAACTTATTCTATTTCCAGAGGCCCTACTTGCTTCTTCTATAGATGAGAGGATTAAATAAGACCGTTTCTATGTTTCTTCCTGCTTTCAAACTCCTATTGCCTTCTTTTACCTGTTTCAAGAGTCTCACAGGCTTAAAAGTAGACATATTCTTAGGTGAGGCCTTGTCAGTTCCTTGCCAGGTACCTCGCCTGGCCTTTCTGGGCCTCCTTCCCCTAAAGCAGTGATTCTCAACCAAGGACAACCCTACTGCATTGCCCCTACCTTTCCCCACTCTCAGTCAGGTTTGGCAAGGTCTGGAGACATTTCTGTCATGATTCGGGTATGCTACCAGCATCTAATGGGTGGAGGCCAGAGATGCCCTTAAACATCCTACAATGCACAAGACAAACCCCACAGCAAAAAGTTAACCTGCTCAAAATCCAAAGGTTGGGAAACCCTTCTTCCCTAAAGGGAACCAAATTTGGATTTTGGGGGGACCTTCATGGCACTCCCAGTCTGGCAAAGAAACAAACCTTCTTATAATAATTTTAAGAAGTAAAATCATAGAGAAAGAGTGAGATTTGGGGGAAGATGAGAGATCTCCTTAGGAGCATTGTCTTTGGACATTTTGTAGTACTTACTTTTGTACATGAGGCAAGCTGCTCAGAAAGTGGTCTGCAGCTGTTTAGTTTGAATTTAAGTGGAACGCAGCTCCTCCTCAGTCGGGGAATCTCTCCTGCCTCTGAGATTTCCCACCCTGGGGTTCCTGTAACAGCTAGCCTTCAGCAGGGTCTAGTGAGGAGACAACTTGCAGGTGTAGTGCACTTGGTCCCTGGAAAAACAGCAAGTCTGTTATATCACTGAAGGGGTTCCTGGTCTGTGGGTAGCTGCTCCTGCAATGTAGGGGATCAAGGAGCCTACACAGTTTCATTCTGTTTGCTCACAAACTAGGAGTGGTGGTCTTTTGGGCAGAGTTCAGAGGAGCTGACTTTTCTTTTTTTTTTTGAGACAGAGTCTCGCTTTGTTGCCCAGGCTAGAGTGCCATGGTATCAGCCTAGCTCACAGCAACCTCAAACTCCTGGGTTCAAGCAATCCTCCTGCCTCAGCCTCCCGAGTAGCTGGGACTACAGGCATGCGCCACCATGCCCAGCTAATTTTTTCTATATATATTAGTAGGCCAGTTAATTTCTTTCTGTTTATAGTAGAGACGGGGTCTTGCTCTTGCTCAGGCTGGTTTCAAACTCCTGACCTCGAGCAGTCCGCCCTCCTTGGCCTCCCAGAGTGCTAGGATTACAGGCGTTAGCCACCGTGCCTGGCCCACACATGAGACTTTTAAAGGTTTAAAAATCAATGAGTTTCTGCGGGTGGCTGGTGCAGTGGCTCACGCCTGTAATCCTACCACTCTGGGAGGCCAGGGTGGATGGATTGTTTGAGCTCAGGAGTTTGAGACCAGCCTGAGCAAGAGTGAGACCTCGTCTCTACTAAAAAAATAGAAAGAAATTAGCTGGACAACTAAAAATATATATAGAAAAAATTAACTGGGCATGGTGGCACATGCCTGTAGTCCCAGCTACTTGGGAGGCTGAGGTGGGAGGTGCTTGAGCCCAGGAGTTTGAGGTTGCTGTGAGCTTGGCTGATGCCACGGCTCTCTATCGTGGGCAACAGAGTGAGACTCTGTCTCAAAAAAAAAAAATCAATGAGTCCATTTTTGCACATTTCTTATCCTGTTTAAAATCAGTTTCTTAGGGCCTGTCACTTGTGTGCATGCAGCTTTTGACAAAACCTCATGATGCTGTAGTGTTAACCATTATTTTTTGTTTTTAAAGTAGGCTCTTGTCCCAGGTATATGCTGCTGTTATTGAGGCTGTTTTGGCTGCCATTGCATGTTATGCTAAAACTTCCAGTCTAACAAAGGTAATTTAAATACCATGTTTCTCTTTCTGTAGACATTATTTTAATGTAAAACATTTCTATCCATCTGTTTATTCTTTGGACATTTTGTAGTACTTACTTTTGTGTGAGCTTGTGCCTCTTTGGCACCAGGCAAAACGATGCCTTTAGAGCACTGAGCTTCTGCCGCCTGTGACACCATGCTGCTGTTGTCTTATGAATGACAACTAATTGGCGCTTCTTTGTAGATGTCTGATTGTGTTAAAGAAAATCATTCTGTAGCACATTGTTTAATGGTTTAATAAACAAAAGGCTTTTAAAAGCTAAAAAATAAAGAAAAATATAGATTATTCCACTGTGAATTTTAATAAAGTTAGGTAAGTTTGTTTTGAGCTATATAGTTTGATTTCCTATAATTCAATATTTAAAATAACAGCTAAAGACTAGAAAATCTGACTTGCCTTTCCTAGACAAGCACATGTGTTCTCGTTCTCTGACCATTATCTTCCTTGCTGTTTTGCGGTTAACCTGCCCTGCTGAGTTGGATTCCTATATCTGACCCAGTAAGGAGATGAGAAGAGTCGGCTTGATGCCTCCCAATGCCAATAGGACCTTTCATGAAGGAAGCCATTTGACATTGGAAAGGTTGTGTATGATGTAGCTCTCAGAGAGACTGTAGCTGTAGTACCAGCTCCTAGCCATCTCCCCTACTTACTGCACTCGTATCCCTGGTACTGATGTGGGGTTTCTCAGCCCTTTAGCTGCTACATGGCAGAAGGCTTGTGCATAGCAGTGGGGATGTCCTTCAGTATCATTTCTCATACCTTGTTTTTAAACTGATCTTTTGTAACTCTAGCTATTTAGATATTCTTAGCATCTGGCTGAAACTCTAAGGACAGTGGTCCCTCCCCCAGAGCCAGAGGAGAGTAGAGAAGAAAGCACTTTTCTAGACCTCACATTCCACTGCTCTCATCCCAGCTGGACATACCTCTCTGGCAGATCTGGTTCCAGTACCACCTGCCTGAATGCAGTTTTGTCCTGTGAACCCAGCCTGAAGAAAGCACACAGCTGTCTCCCTTAACACGATGCTTTCATTTGATTTGTTGATGTCTACAAAGTGTCACACAGAGGGGAAGGGCAAGATGTGTTCCTGGCTAAATGTTAGGAAGGCCCTTCCTATCACTGATGTGTGTACTTTTTTTTGCTGTGAAAGCTAATTGTCTCTGTCTTGTTATTGATTTTACAGGCCAAGGAGGTAGCAGAGCAGACCCTGGGATCTCGGTTAGATTCCTTTGAGTTGATTCGGTTTAAGACAGCCCTGCGGTAAGCAATGGTGATATTTTTTATGCAGAAATTTAAAAGACTCTTTTGCGCCTTGTAATTGATATCTCATCTCCCCTTTGAGAAATGTTTCATCCTCAAATTCTGTTCCATGAGAAAAAAAAAAAAGAAATGTTTCAGTAAAATAATGGGATATATGAAGGAGAGTCATTCATGGTCCAGCCTTTATTTGAGAAGCCAAGGAGCCAAAGATGGAGGAGCTGTATGAGAAAGAGTTACACATGTGTTCTGAGGCTTGAATGTGAGGCAGATTTACACTGGAACCACAGGAGACCTGACAAGCCTGAGTTCCAAGGTTAAAACAGTGAATCTGGGGACCTGAATGTTGAGGTTTGCTATGGACAGGGACCCTGGGCACAAGAGGATACTCATTGCTTAGAAGAGACTTGCCACGAGTCTCATCTGTCTCCCAGATGGTGGAAACCCTGGACCTGGCCATGTGTTGGGGTCCAGGTGGGCTGGGCCTCTGGCCTCCTGGCAGCCTTCCCATCACAACTCCCAGCATGTCACAGGGGGTCTCTGTGTGGTCTTTGTTAAATCAAACCAGACACATGACTTTTAAAAGGTTTAGATAGCTAAATTGTTATGAACCCAGTCCACTTAACCTACTGTCCCACATGAGAACCATTTTGTGCACTTTTATGCAAAGGATACCAAAACACCAATACTGGGGAATTTATTGAAGAATATTTCTAGAGGGCCGGGCATGGTGCCTCACGCCTGTAATTCTAGCACTCTGGGAGGCCGAGGCGGGAGGATTGCTCAAGGTCAGGAGTTTGAAACGAGCCTGAGCAAGAGTGAGACCCTGTCTCTACTAAAAATAGAAAGAAATTAATTGGCCAACTAAAAATATATAGAAAATAATTAACCTTTGTGGAAAGCAATATGGAGATACCTTAAAGCAATACAATTGAATCTACCATTTGATCCAGCAATCCCATTGCTGGGCATCTACCCAAAAGATCCAATGACACTCTACAAAAAAGACACCTGCACTCGAATGTTTATAGCAGCACAATTCATAATTGCAAGGCTGTGGAAACAGCCCAAGTGCCCATCAATCCAAGAATGGATTAATAAAATGTGGTATATGTATACCATGGAGTACTATTCAGCTCTAAGAAACAATGGTGATATAGCACATCTTATATTTTCCCAGTTAGAGCTAGAACCCATACTACTAAGTGAAGTATCCCAAGAATGGAAAAACAAGCACCACATATATTCACCAGCAAACTGGTATTAACTGAGCAGCACCTAAGTGGACACATAGGTACTACAGTAATAGGGTATTGGGCAGGGGGGAGAGGGGCGGGTATATACATACATAATGAGTGAGATGTGCACCATCTGGGGGGTGGTCATGCTGGAAATTCAGACTTGGGGGGGGGAGGAGGGGAAAGGGCATTTATTGAAACCTTAAAATCTGTACCGCCATAATATGCCAAAATAAAAAAAAGAAAATAAATTTTTTTTTTTTTTTTTAGTATAAGCTTAGATACAGGAAGAAAATAAAATTTAAAAAAAGGAAAATAATTAGCCAGGCATGGTGGCCCATGCCTGTAGCCCCAGCATCTCTGGAGGCTAAGGCAGAAGGGTCACTTGAGCCCAGGACTTTGAGGTGGCTGTGAGCTAGGCTGACGCCACAGCACTCTAGCCCAGGAAACAGTGAGACTCTGTCTCAAAAAAAAAGAATATTTCTGGGATGGGTCCTGTGGTACCTCAGCTCCACATCTGATAGCTCTGGGTAGTAAGAAGGAACATTTGAAAGGTAAGTTTGTCAATTGATCTCACAAGAAGAATTCTACTGGTGCAGCTCCAGGAGTGGAAAAAAGAGCCAAAACTCTGTGGTGATGTGGTGAAAGGCTTAGAATTGCTTCAGGCCTCTGTCCCACTAGGTCTTCTGAATCTTGTTGCTCTGGCTGTGAAGGAGGAGGGGTGGAGGAAGCTTGTCCCCTTAAGGCCTTATGCTGCCCTGCACTGTTTCTGGCAGATGAGTTTGAGAAAGTTCCTTCACTTGGCAGCTGTATGACCTTGGGCAAGATAGGAAACTGTGCATCTGTTTCCTCAACTACCCACCTTGTGCAGTGATTGAACATAGAAATGTTAGCTGCTATCACAGTGGGTTCTTCTCTGTTATCATCAACAGGGCTGCCATAGTCATTCTATTCCTGCCTTTCTCAGGCCCTTGCCTAGACCACTCAGTCTCCCCAAGGCGGACCTCCTCTCAGTCCCTGGGCCTCCTAGGCCTGGGTGTCCACCTTCCCTGGAGGAAGGCACAAGGAGAAGACATTAGGCAATCAGAAGAGAGTCTCACAGGGCCAGTCCTCTACCCAGAGTCCCACCCCTCCACAAAGGCTACTTCACTGAGTACCCTTGAACTGCATCAAATCAGCAAGTAGGAACTTAGTGTGTGACTGACTAGTACTTGTTAAGGCAGGAAATTTAACTTACACAATTTAGAATAAGCCAAAGGATTTTCTGGTTATTTCTGGCTCAGAAGGCCTGACCTTTCCCGTGGCTCCACAGCATTTCGCTGTGAGGAGCATAGACATGGCATGCACGTCAGCTTAGAGCAAGGATGAAGGGTCTACTCCCAGACTGTGGTGGGCAGCAGTCGTGTCACGTTGTTCTCTCCTGTTCTCCTCCAAAAGTCAAGATAGCCCCAAGGACTTGCACAGAGGCTGGAGCCAGACACTGGCCCCGTGCTTGCTGGTAGCATGGGACCTGGGAAGGGTATCTAAAATATCTAAGGTAAATCTGCATAAAGCAAAGGTGACACACACCTCGCTGGGCGGCCTTGAGTGTCCCTAGCAGGCACACTATAGAAGCAAGTGTCTGGGGAGGTTACTAACCCAGTAGTCAGCAAGAGTAGACTGACTTTTATTTTGTTTTGTTTTTGGTCCACAGCTCCAAGATGGCTTTTCATATACATGCTGTGAATAATCAGGGAAGGTAAGTGCATGATTGTGGTGTTCTGATACGGGGCAAGTTTTAGGAACACAAAGAGAGGAGAGGCTACTTTGTAGCTGCTGACATGGAAGGTCTTCTCGCAGTTCCACACCTGCCAGTGCCCTTTCTCCAGGGTTGGGCTTAGGGCTGGCTGTGCTCAGCTGAGCCCTGTACCCTGAGTGTCTCCCACTGAAAGGCTGAGGGGGCAGGGTTTGGGGGAGAACATAATTCACTTTAGTGGCCCACATACTAATTCTACATACATGCAGGCCCAGTGTTTTGAAAATCTCTGAGAGAAATGTGAATCTGGGAGTTGTTGCCGAGTTGAAAAAAGAGAACATCGTAAATTTTAGTACATTTTAAAACTCATTGGCGTATGTCTGTCTCATCTCTTTCCCCTTCTAGAATTGTGCCTCTGGACAGTGAAGATAGCTTATCCTTTGTGAAGACGGTAAGCAGAGCTGTTAAGAGGTCAGCTGGCTGGAAATGGCCTTAGAGGGACATGTACAAGGGATGAAGTGGGAGTAGGTAGGGGTCTTGGGCAGCCCACCACTTACCTAAAGAAACTGATGTGTTCTCAGGACTGTCCTAGCTGCAGTGGTGGTGACCCTGTGCTTTCTGTGGGTGCCCAGGCAGCTGTGCACCCACACTCCCATGCCTAGGCTTCCCCAGGGTCCAGAGTTAACTGAGGGTCTGGGGGCACCTCTTTCTGAGATCATAAAGCCCTCCTGCAGGTAGCTGAGATTGCTCTGACCTCATGTGGAAATGTGAGCTGAGGGCAAGCCTGCCTTGAACAATATACCAAGTTTTCAGTGGCTCTCTTGTGTTTCAAGGCCTGGGTTCATGACCTTAATGGGGACCTGGGAAAATTAACCACTTCGGTACAGCGCTCACCGGCCACGAAACCGTGCCCACAGCTGGCACTCACAGTCCGCACGATAGTTTGTGCTGTGCATTGACGACGAACCGTTTTGCTCTTGTGTGATGAGGAAAGCTTTACAGCACTGAAAGCTTGTTTCACTTTACAGGCAGCTTTACTTGTAAATCAGAATAGGTAACATATATATATATTATATGTTTTTATTACGTTATTTTTAAATGTTCACAATTTTATTTTTTTATTTTTTTTGAGACAGAGTCTCGCTTTGTTGTCCAGGCTAGAGTGAGTGCCGTGGCGTCAGCCTAGCTCACAGCAACCTCAAACTCCTGGGCCCAAGCGATCCTTCTGCCTCAGCCTCCCGAGTAGCTGGGACTACAGGCATGCGCCACCATGCCCGGCTAATTTTTTATATACATATCAGTTGGCCAATTAATTTCTTTCTATTTATAGTAGAGACGGGGTCTCGCTCTTGCTCAGGCTGGTTTTGAACTCCTGACCTCGAGCAATCCGCCCACCTCGGCCTCCCAGAGAGCTAGGATTCACAATTTTATTTTGATAAATGAAAAAATAGAAAAGTCAAGTTTTGTTATTAACACTAAAGTTGTCGCTTGGCTGTGCGCCTTGATATCACAGCTGTCGGCTAATGTTGAGGCTCGGCTGTGTGTGTTCATCTGTGTCTATCGACTATAGTTGACACTCGTACGGAAGTGGTTAATTACAGCCATATGCTGCTTAACAGCATTTCGGTCAATGGTGGACCACATATACGATGGTCCCATAAGGTGGCCCCACAATACTGTGTTTTTACTATACCTTTTCTATGTTTAGGTATATTTAGGCACACAAATACTTACTGTTGTGTTATGATTGCCTGCAGTGTTCAGTACAGTAACATGCTGTACAGGTTTGTAGTCTAGAAGCAATAGGCCATACCATATAGCCTAGGTGTATACTAGGATATACCATCTAGGTTTGGGTAAGTACACTCTGATGTTTGCACAGCTACGAAATCGCCTAAGGATGTATTTCTCAGAACATATCCTCATTGTTAAAACAATGCATGACTGTAATTAATTAAACAACAATCAAAAGGGTATCTGGGTCTCCAGTGAAGTACAGTCAGAGTAGAGCTTTCCAACCTGTGTGCTGGGGCCACACTGATGGGCCAGGGGAATGGTTTGGAGCTGCACTGCAGTATTAGTCTCTGGGGTCAGACATCTAGGGGAACCAGAATTTCAAGGCCAGTTGCTCTCAGCCATAAGCCAAGTCCTCCATTTACCTCAGCACATCCTGATGTAAAGAAGGTTGGCAAAGGGTGCATGAGAGGATGCTGGGTATCCAGCCAAGATTCTGACTATAGTGTGTGGGCATAAGTTATCCCTTGAGTCTGTTCCGTTCCCACTGCCTAAGCTTTAATTCCAATGAGCTTAAGACATTGGGAAATGACTTATGATATTGAGGCAATAATACTTTATCTTCTTACTAGACTTGAAATCCCTGACTTCTCTCCTTGGACTCTTGTGCAGTACTTTGGCAGATGCTTTGCATAATAATAAGTGATTAGGAGTCTAGTAGAGTCATACTCTTATATTAAGTATGCATAACTGATGAAATCGGAAATAAGAGACAGGAAGTTGATATTTTCTGTGTAGATCCTGTCCTCCCATCCTGTTCTGCCTCTTTCTCTTTCCCTGTTGATTTCTCTCTATAAGTACTATATTCCTGTATTAGTTGCAATTTGTACTTGCATTTATGTGCTACACAGATTGGGGAGTAATTCTACACTAATATGTCATATGATGGCTTCTGTGTAAGAATGCTCTTGTCTCTGCAGCTACACATGAACACAGTCCCCATGTTATATTTTTTTCTCTCCCTGTGCCACATGGTGGGAAGTACATAGCAAATGTCCAACAAATGCTATATGTATTGTTTTCAATGTCTTTTCTCCCCTTCCTCAATACCAGAGGCCAAAATAAAAGTGAAGGATCAGGAACCCACAGGATCTGTCTACTTGATTGATCTGGGAACCAAAGAAGTTGGATTCTCATTGTCACTTCAGAGGGACCCTGTAGCCCAGGAGGGTTCTTTGTCTTCAGATGCTTGAAATTCTTTGAGACAGATTTAGATAAATCTTCCAGTCATCAAACTAGTTGGAAAATTAACTGAAATATAAAAGCATACTTGTCACTTTTGTATATTGTAATATCATAACAACATGGAAAATCGAAGACTTCAGGTTTAACTGTGTTTTTTTTCTTTTCAACCCTTCTGCCCTGCCCTCTTTATTTTTTTTATTTGATAATCCAGAAATTCCTCCAAGAGCCTCAGGTTTTTTGTCTCTGTCTTGAGTAGTGGGACAGTAGTCCAGACTAGGACAACAGGGAGCTCTGCACCCCACCACTCAGCGGTACTCAGGCCAGGAGGGCATGAACCTGAGAGAGCTCCTCGTGCTACTTGTCCCGTGTCCCTCGCCATATCTTCCTGGCTGTCCAGACTCTGGCTCTGGCTCATGCCATTTTCTTTTTTCTCTGTGTGTGTGTGTGTGTGTGTGTGTGTGTGTGTGTGTGTGTGTGTGTGTGAGAGAGAGAGAGAGAGAGAGAGAGAGAGAGAGAGAGAGAGAGAGAGAGAGGTAGAGCGATACGCAAGGTCTTGCTCTGTTGCCCAGGCAGTAATCACAGCTCACTGCAACCTCCAACTTCCAGGCTCAACTCCTCCTGGTTCAGCCTCCCAAGGATCTGGAACTACAGGCATGCGGCACCACACCTAACTAAATTTTAAAAAATTTGTTTGTAGAGATGGGGTCCCACATTTTGTCCAGGCTGGTCTCCAACTGCTAGCTTCAAGCAATCCTTTTGCCCAGGCCTCCCAAAGTGTTGGGAGTACATGCATGAGCCACTGCATCTGGCCATTTTCTGTGGGTTTTTTTGCTGAATTCTCTCCAGAGTTGTTCCATTTTTACTGATTTTTTAAACTGATAAATTAGGGCTTTCTTACAAGCCTTTTAGGAGCTTTCTCTGAGTTGCTCTAATTTTGTTTCCACGGTACTGAAGCCTCTATTTTTATTTGTCCTGGCCATAAACACTTGAATAGCTTTCTTTTAATGTTCTTGATACTTAAAGGAACACTTGCAGGTATTGACATGTACCCCAAAATATCCATGAAGACATATATACTGAGTGAATGACCACCTTTTCAGGTTCGTTCAGAACTCAAGCCCAACCAAAGAAGGAGTTGGTGAGAGTGTGGCAAGGTGGGGATATGAAGAGTATGCAAGTGTACAGGAGCCAAGAGGGTACACCTCCAACTCTCATAAGCTGGAGACCAGTCACAGTTAAAAGTAAAGGCTGATTACAGTCTGAGCTGTTTGTTCAGGAATAAAAAAAAAATAAGAATGAGAACTATTGTGTTCCCTCTTAAAAAGGGTAAGCAATTTGAGGGAATTTGTAGAAACATAAAGATACTCTCCTTCTAGCCCAAATGTGTCTCCGACCAAGGGGCAATTGCAAGGAAGCCTGAGTGATCCTGAAGTCATCTCCCAGTTCAGAGATATATTTAGGTTAGTCCAGTTTTCCTTAGAAACTCCCTAGTACTCTTGCCTTGTGCCTTAAAGCAGTATTTTTGGTCTCTCTCTTACAGATCTCTCCCTCGACGTTTTGGGCTGGCAACTGGTCTAACTCTGGTTTCTCATTTGATATAGGCTTGTATGACCATCTATGACATTCCTGACTTGCTGGGAGGAAAGGGATGCTTAGGATCTGTGGTCTTCTCAGAATCATTTTTGACATCTCAGATCTTAGTTAAAGAAAAGGGTAAGTGAATGTGATCATTGGAAGGAAAACCTTGACCCTTCTTTTTTGGCAAAATAAACCATAAACTAAGGCAAAAGGCCATCAATAAACTGGTGAAAATATTAGAACACTTATGATAAACAAAGGATATATATCCTGATTTATGAAGAGCTCTTACAAATTAATAAGAAAAAGATAAATTGCCCTATGATAAAATGGGCAAAAAATATGGACAGGCCATTCACAGATGGGGAACAGAAGAAGGGGTATATATAAAAAAAAGATATGTAGCCTCACTAGTAATCAAGAAGAAGCTATTTAAAACAATAATTATTAATAAATAATATTTTTTACCCATTATGTTAGCAAAATACTTTTTTTTTTTTCTTTTGAGACAGAGTCTCGCTTTGTTGCCCAGGCTAGAGTGAGTGCCATGGCGTCAGCCTAGCTCACAGCAACCTCAAACTCCTAGGCTCAAGCAATCCTCCTGCCTCAGCCTCCCGAGTAGCTGGGGCTACAGGCATGCGCCACCATGCCCGGCTAATTTTTTCTATATATATTAGTTGGCCAATTAATTTCTTTCTATTTATATTAGAGACAGGGTCTCCCTCTTGCTCAGGCTGGTTTCGAACTCCTGACCTCGAGCAATCCGCCCGTCTCGGCCTCCCAGAGTGCTAGGATTACAGGCGTGAGCCACCAAGCCCGGCCGTTAGCAAAATACTTTAAAGAATGATAATATCCAGTGCTGGTAAAATGAGCCTGATAATATTCTGTTTGATTTTAAACATGTATACCCATACTACCTTGATAAAAATTAAAAAGTAAAAAGGACTGATTCCTAGGACCTTTCATTTAAATGTGTATTTCTGTTTGTTCAGAAAAATGCTAAAGTTAATCACATGGAGAGACTTTTTTCCATCCCCTCATTAGTCTCCCTTTCCTCAGATGAGGAAGTTTTCATTTTCTGCAGGGATTAGACTCTCTGTACTAATAAGAGAAGCCCTTGCTCCTGAGAAGGGAAAAGGCATTTACTGTCTGGGGCCGACAAGGTGGGCCTACGTGATGGGGAGTAACTGGCGTGTCTGTGGTCTTCCTACAGATGGCACTGTTACCACAGAAACCAGCTCCATAGTCCTGACGGCCGCTGTACCCAGATTCTGCTCCTGGCTGGTTAGTGTCATTCATCACATGGCAGTGACCTAAACATGGAGAAATTGGGGAGAATGTTTGAGGACGAGCTTCTTCACTGGGTCCCTAGTGGGATGTCAGATCCTGCACTAGCTATTGTCTAGGAATTGAAGTTTTTGTCTCAGCCCTTTCTCTTTATACAAATGAATCTAGTTTCTTTAACTCTCTCATATCTTGGAATAGTTTCAAAAGAAAGGAACTAAGTTATCTGGGTACTTGTTAAGTTGTGAAAGGAAGAAATTAACTCTTACTTTACAGACAAGGAGACTGAGGTTTAGAGGTTGAGAAGCCTGTCCAAGGTCATAGATAGTGGGAAGTGGATCCTGTGGGTTCCCCCCCTGGCCAGGATGGTGGCTGTGGAAGTTTTGCAGCAACATATCTCAACATGTAGAAAATTCCCATCTTCCTCTGTGGCACTTGGTCTGAAACTCTGGTGCCTTGAAGCATAGAAAGTATGACAGCAGTAAGTCTGGTAATGGCTTAAATACCTAGTAATACTTTATTCATTTATTTATTTATTTATTTATATATTGAGACAGTCTCACTTTGTTGCCCAGGCTAGAGTGAGTGCCATGGCGTCAGCCTAGCTCACAGCAACCTCAAACTCCTGGGCTCAAGCAATCCTTCTGCCTCAGCCTCCCGAGTAGCTGGGACTACAGGCATGCACCACCATGCCCAGCTAATTTTTTCTATATATATTAGTTGGCCAATTAATTTCTTTCTGTTTATAGTAGAGACAGGTCTCACTCTTGCTCAGGCTGGTTTCAAACTCCTGACCTTGAGCGATCCATCCGCCTCGGCCTCCCAGAGTGCTAGGATTACAGGTGTGAGCCACCGTGCCCCGTCCTTAGTAATACTTTAAAATGTTTATATTCTGTTTCTACAGTTCTAACAAGGATAGGGAAGAATGAGTCATCCTCTATTGTGCACATGTTTAAATGAGAACATACTCTGAAAATATTTTAATATGTTCTCTTTCCTTCATCCCTAAAAACATTTGTTTTCCTCTGAAATAAAGTGTAAGTGGAGACCAGCACATCCTCTTCCCATGTCGTAACGTAGGCTCATTAGCTGTACCTAGGGTCCCAGTGAGAGCCTGCCATGGCCTTTGGCTCCGAGCCCTGATTGCTGGCAGCCAACTTTGCAGCCATGTCAGGGCCTGAAAGAGCACTTGGACTTGGGCGCGGTGAGGGGACTGCTGAGTCCATCTCCTGGGGATATTTGAACACAGCAGGGAGACTAGCAGGGTTGGCCCTTGAAGTAGTCAACTGAAAATCTGCCTTCCTTTTGGACACAGGTAGAAGATAATGAAGTAAAATTGTCTGAGAAAACCCAGCAAGCAGTGAGGGTAAGCAGCCTTCTTATTTTCAGTGTTAATGTCATCACAATATAATGTAAATAATTTATAGAGATGATTTATAGTTCATCTTACTGCTACTCTAAAGGATCTGTACTACCTTGTTTTTAATTCCTATTTGCATTCTTTCCCTTCCCAGGAGAGGATTAGAAATAACTATTTATGGAGGATACAATTAGAGAGATTCTTTCTCCCTTTAAAGCTTTTTGGTGTTTTTGTTTTGTTTTGTTTTTTGAGACAGAGTCTCGCTTTGCCCAGGCTAGAGTGAGTGTCATGGCATCAGCCTAGCTCACAGCAACCTCAAACTCCTGGGCTCAAGCAATCCTGCTGCCTCAGCCGCCCAAGTAGCTGGGACTACAGGCATGTACCACCATGCCCGGCTAATTTTTTGTATATATATTAGTTGGCCAATTAATTTCTTTCTATTTATAGTAGAGACAGGGTCTCGCTCTTGCTCAGGCTGGTTTCGAACTCCTGACCTTGAGCAATCTGCCCCGCGTCAGCCTCCCAGAGTGCTAGGATTACAGGCATGAGCCACCGCCCCCCGGCCTGTTTTTTTCTTTTTTAAATCTTCCCATACTATTCAAAGCAGATCCCAAATCAGTTGACACATGTAGAGCTGATAGGTCAGGGCTTCAGGCCAAGGAGCAGCTTCCTTCATTTTCACAGAAGAAATAAATCCACTGAAACATGAACAAGCATTGCAGGCTTTGGCACCTAGACTCAGAGAGAACCTTAACATTCTTTTTCTCAGCACCAATGAAGGATGTCAGTAACATGCCAAAGAGCCCAGCAGCACCAAAGGCCATGGAATAAGTTGGGCATATCTGAGTCTGACTCACCTTTTGTAGACAGACAAAATGAGACAAGATTTTTGGTTCTATGAGTATTTATGCTATAAATCACCTGCTCTTTTTTGGTTTTGGTTTTTGTCATTGTTTTTAAAGGGGGATGAGTGTTTCCTGGGCACTTTTCTAGCAGGAGGAGAAGGAGCATATCTTTATTCCGGCAATCTACAGCCCTGGCCTGAGGAAGGTAAGGAGCTATGTCTGGGCCATGTCCGGGTCCCTTGTTTGCAGATGTCAGCATGGGTGTTGTGATTAATAATACATCTTATATTTGAAAAGACTGGTTGGTGTACAAGTGTTTTCTTACAGCTTTTCTTCTTGGATCCACCCACTTTGTAGATGAGGAAACTTGTGCTGGAAAGGACAGATCCCAGAACTAATATCTGGTCCTTTTGTTGCTGCCTGAGATTAGCTCTAGAGCAGCAACACCTCCAGAAATAGAATCTGTGGACCTAAACAAAATCTGTATTCGTTTTCTCTTGCTGTGTAACAGATTTCCACAAATTGATTGATTGATTGACTGACTGATTGAGACAGAGTCTCACTTTGTTGCCCAGGCTAGAGTGAGTGCCTCGGCATCAGCCTAGCTCACAGCAACCTCAAACTCCTGGGCTCAAGCAATCCTTCTGCCTCAGCCTTCCGAGTAGCTGGGACTACAGGCATGAGCCACCATGCCTGGCTAATTTTTTCTATATATATTAGTTGGCCAGTTAATTTATTTCTATTTATAGTAGAGACGGGGTCTTGCTCTTGCTCTTGCTCAGACTGGTTTTGAACTCCTGACCTCAAGTAATCTGCCCACCTCGGCCTCCCAGCCACAATTTATAACTTAAAACAATGCCTACTTACAGGTCAGAAGTCCATGCAGGCTTGGTTGGATTTAGATTTTGTAAGCCCACAGTTAAAGCATCAGCCACGCTAGGCTCTTACCTAGAAGCTCTGGGGAGGAATCGTCTCCCAGGCTCATCCAAATTGTTGGTCTACAAGTTCTTTCTGCTTATAGGACTGAGATCCCTATTTTGTTTCTGGTTGTCAGCCAGGGACTGCTCTTAGCTCCTGCTCCCAGAGGTCCTTCCCCTGTGATCCCCTCCATCTCAGCTGTGAAGAACATCCCTTGTATTGAATCTCTCTCATGCTTTGAATCTCTGAATTCCTCTTCTGCTACCAGCATCTTAAGTTTTTACCTACCATACCCTCTGACCCCATGATTCATGTCCCTCCCTTATACAACCTCTGGTCACCCACCTCCCAAGGGGCTCATCCCATTATGGCAACAGTTCAAAGCCCTGAATCTTATGAGCTCAAGTATCCAAAATCTCATCAAGATCATCTAAATCTCATGTATATGAGGAGGCTCCAGAGTATGATCTGTCAAGTACAACTCCTGAACACAGTTCCTCTCCGTGTCTGTGAACCTGTGAAAATAAGAGACGAGTCATCTGCCCCAGCCTCTCCTAACACACAAGGCGGGACTGGCATAGACTTCAGATTCACAAAGGGGAAAAACAGGAGGTAAAAAGGAATCACCAGCCCAAGGCAGCTTTAAAACCCACCTGGGCAAACTCCAGTTCCTTGATTAGATTTCAAGGGCTGGGAATATTCTGCTGGCTCTCAGCTCTGCCCCCTGGGCTCTTGGTTCCACCCTCTGAGCTGTTCCTTTGCTCTGGGCTCATGGCTCTGCCCTCTGGGCTTGTGGCTATACCTCTGTCATCCTTCCTTTACCAGTGAAAGGTAGTGCCCTGTTTGTAGCTGAGTAGTTTTATCAGCCTGCCTTTTCCCGGCAGGATTTTAGGGGTCCAGCAATCTCTTTTATTTTGTACACTCTGTCCCTTTCAGTCTAAGCTGGCAGTGTTTCTGCTGATATAAAATTTTCAAGAGTCTCTTTGGTCTTGCATGGATTTCACAGGGGTTCACTCCATGTTCCTTTTTGGCTTCCTCAAAATTTTTTTGAGTTCTATTCTTTCCCTGCTGAATATAGCCTTTTTGTGGGGGAGGAGTTCTGACTTACTCACAGATTCCTCAACCTCTACTAAGCAAATTTCCTTTCTGGATGATTTGTTCTTCTTGTTGAAAATATTCTGTCCGGTGGCAAATTCCTCTGTTCTCAGATCACTGATTCAGCTTCTGCTCCTTCATTCACTTAGAAGACAAAGCACAAGGAGTTCTGGTTTTTGATCCACATAATGCTGGTTGGTAGTGGCATTTGTTATTATGTTTGTGCTACAGGCCCTGCATTTCTGCCTCTCCCGATCCTGGTGCAGAAGACGCAGGAGTTAGGAACATTTGCTGAACTCATGGAGTGTGTAGCAAGGCTACCAACAAGATTGCATAGTGTTTTGAAAGCAGGTTGTAGGCATAACACAGAGGTGGTTTGTGCTCTGTCATCCTCGAGCCAATTATAATATTTAGCAAGGATCTTTGCCAAAATTAGTGCACCTTCTTAGGAAAGGGCCTTGTTAGAAAAATAGTCTTGCATTGTATTGAGTTATCCAACAAGACTCAGTGTATCCTGAGGTCTCTGTGCAAGAATAAAGGGCACAGCCAGGGATTTCTGAGACCTTGTTAGTCACATTCTTTCAAAAACTTTCAAACCGTCTTAGTTCCTAAGGGAAATCTAGTTTGAATTAGGAGGTGGTTTTCTGAGGCAGGAAAATTCAATGCAAGCAGAGAAATTTTTTTGCTATTCTGTAATTTTTTCCACATCAGACAGGTAATGTGCCAATGTGGTAACAAGGTTTAACGGGGGCACATCTCACACTTGATGTGAAAACCCAATCATCATGTTTATGAACTACAAAAGGATCAAAGGCAGAGAATTTAAACAGGAGTCTACCCTGGCTCTATGATAAGCATTTTACCACTTTTGTGTTCAGGTCAGTAACTGATCTAGGTTTTGTGGGGCTTGAAGTTTATACTATTTGGAGGTTCTTTTAAAGGAAATTAATACAAAATGGTTAAGGTTCTTCCAAAGGTCTTAGACAGGTGAGAGGTCCTGAAGTTCAAGTGTCATTAGTGTCTTGATAAGTCTGCCTTTATTTGAGACTGTTATGTGCTTGAAATTTATCTGTTCCCATACACTGATGGTGCTTATCTTGAGCCTCTCTGCTTGCATTATCTCGATTTATCTTTGTCTCCTGAGCCCCATAGAAGGTAAAAACTTGCCTGAAGTTGTCGTGCAAGTTAATGGCAACATCTAGAGGTTAGTCCAGGTTGGGAGGATAGTACAGGCCTTCTGATTTTAACCCACCAATTATTTATGGATGAGAAGAATAGTATTTCCTTTACCTTGAAATGTTTCCAGCTCTCGAACCTTTTCCCATCCCTAGTCAGTGGCTCCTGCTGTCACAAGACTTCTCGCTATTCAGTTTCTCATTCATTCATGTCCTTCATGTGCCTTTCTCTTTCCTGCCCTGCCGACCTTGGCCAGGCAAGCTGCCCAGTACCTAATCCTTGGGAACCTGCTTTAGAGTTTTATTGTGTATGCCTATATCCCTCAACAATGTTTTATTTTGAACTTAATACAAATAGAATCATACTATGTGTGTTCTCCTGGGACTTGCTCAATCTTATGTTCCTAGGATTCATACAGATTATTTTGTATAGCTTATTCATTTTCATGGCTCCATAGTATTCCTTTGTATGAAAATGCAGTATTTATCATTTTGATTCTTTTTTTTTTTTTTTTTTAGACAGAGTCTCTCGCTTTGTTGCCCAGGCTAGAGTGAGTGCCGTGGCATCAGCCTAGCTCATAGCAACCTCAAACTCCTGGGCTCAAGCAATCCTGCTGCCTCAGCTTCCCAAGTAGCTGGGACTACAGGCATGCGCCACTGTGCCCGGTTAATTTTTTCTATATATATTAGTTGGCCAATTAATTTCTTTCTATTTATAGTAGAGACAGGGTCTCGCTCTTGCTCAGGCTGGTTTCGAACTCCTGATCTCGAGCAATCCGCCTGCCGCGGCCTCCCAGAGTGCTAGGATTACAAGCGTGAGCCACCTCGCCAGCCCATTTTGTTTCTTGATGGACATGCAGGTTGTTTGTAATTTTTTGCTGTTGCAGACAGTACTGTTATGAGCATTCTTATGCATGTCTCTTGGTTCACATGGACAAAAGTTTCTCTGGGGTTGGAATGGGGAAGAGTAGAATTGGGGATTTTAGCATGAGCCCACATACAGGTTTTATCAACGAGGCCAGATTATTTTCCAGAGCGATTGTACCAAATTATACTTCCACCAGCAGCATACAAGTATTTCAGTTTTTCCAAATTCTGGCCAAGACTTGCTATTTTGTCAGTGTTTTCCACTCTGGTGAATGAGCAATGCTGTATTATTAGGATTTTAATTTACATTTCTCTGATTATTACTGAAACATGACCATCTTTTTATTTTTTTTTTATTTTTTTTTTTTTTGAGACAGAGTCTCGCTTTGTTGCCTAGGCTAGAATGAGTGCCATGGCGTCAGCCTAGCTCACAGCAACCTCAAACTCCTGGGCTCAAGCAATCCTCCTGCCTCAGCCTCCCAAGTGGCTGGGACTGCAGGCATGTGCCACCATGCCCGGCTAATTTTTTTTCTATATATATTATTTGGCCAATTAATTTCTTTCTATTTATAGTAGAGACGGAGTCTCGCTCTTGCTCAGGCTGGTTTTGAACTCCTGACCTCGAGCAATCCGCCCGCCTCGGCCTCCCAGAGAGCTAGGATTACAGGCGTGAGCCACCGCGCCCGGCCTCATCTTTTTATTTATTGGCCTAGCTATTATACTTCCCTTCTGTTAATTGCTCGTGCTTGTCTTTTGCTCATATTTCTTTTAGATTGTCTTTTTCGTGGTTATTTGAAGGAATTCTGTATAGATTTGAGACACCAATCCTTTGTCATTTTTGTCTATTGCAAATAGTTTCTCTCACTTGGTGGCTTGTCTTTTCATTTTATTTATGATGCTTTTAATGAATAAAATTTCTTAATTTTAATATAGTCAAAATAATTAATCTTTTCCTATGTGGTTTATATATTTTAGACCTGTTTAAGAAATAACTCATCATGAGTCTCCTATGTTGACTTCAAAAAATATAGTTTTTCCAAGAATCCACCTGAATTGATATTTGAAAGTGGTATGAGATAGGAATCAAATTTTATTTATTTATTTAAGAAACAGAGTCTCACTCTGTTGCCTGGGCTAGAAACAGTGGTAT